GTGCATGTGTGGCGAATTCTTGTCCATGCAGACATCCAACAGGAACCAAACAATTCGTCGAAAAAGAACAAATGTACGAAGCAAGGAGTGCCGTTTATTTGAAAAAAAGGCACGCTGCACAAAACGACGCGTCAGTTCTTAAACGAGTGAGAGGACACGACGCGTCAAAGTCGAGGTCGACGTCGAGGTCGGAGCCAATGTTGCCGTTCTACAATCCGTCTCGCATTTGTCTTTTTTTCCACTTTGACCCGCGTGGAAACTGACACCGAGTTCGCCCCGGGCACTAACACCAACCAACAAACCTTAGACGCTGAAGAAACAGGGGATTCCCTGGAAGGAACACACTAAACGCTGTACTAGATATTGCTAAACGGAAACTCTCAAAGGCGCTAATAAATATACAACGACATCAGCGACAACAGGCAATCGTGCATTCGTGAATGCACTCACTATATTGAACATGGCCGATGAAGGTGTTGCAATTTACAGTCGTCGACCGGTTCTTGGCTCTCACCGACACAAGAGGAGGATACACGGCTGTTGACCGACTCCGGCATTGTGGTCGAGGTATCAGCAGAATCCGCTGTCGGAGTATGCAGGCGAAGACGCAGAATACGACGCAAGGAGGGCACATAGCCCTGATGCCGCGTGAGACGTCTTAAGAGATCGAGTATGTGGATTGGCTACTATAGTGTTGCAAGCTGCAGTGGAGGCGGTGCAATTCACGACGACTTTCCTTGCGTTTGCTCTTCTAGGCAGACGCATTTTCGACGAGTAAAAGGAAGCCGAACAGAGGATACAGCAATACAAGCAATCGGAGTGAGAAATAAATAGGACAAAATCAATAAAAACAAAAAACACAATCGAAAAGGGGAATGAAAGCGAATGAAACCGAAAGCTCTATGGAAGAATGCCATACAACTGGATTTTCTCCAACAGTGCTCTGCTTATCCCTTCTTCCCCAGCATATCATGCTCCTGACAACTCGTGACGGCTCACTGACCCAGGAAACTGCCTCGAAATGGACACATTTGCAGTCACTTGACCACATTTTGTGTCCCCTTTTCGGTCTCTTCCGCCCATCATGGACCCTGCCGAGCTGACAGCATGCAGCCAACAGCAAATGACCGATGTGAGTGTCTGTTCTTTTTTTTTTTTGTTCTTTTTTGTTCTTTTTTCATGGTTCTCTCCGCCCTCATATTCTCCTAGGACATGCTTGCCGTCCAATATGTGTCTTTGAGATTTCCGGTTTTTCTCCAGAAAAGATCACATGCTGCGAGTTGCGCAGTTGCGGGTTGCCTCTTTTGGGTCAACAGAAATACAGGCCGAGTGGCCCTTGCATGGCCACCGTTTGGAAAGTCAGATACTGTGCACGCGCCACACTCTGGCCCGGGATTGCCCTTACGGGCCGCGCTGCGAAAGGGGCGACTTTTTGGTGCCAGAGCTGTAGTCCGCATGATCAGCACTAAAGAGGAAAGCCACAGTCACCATGGCTTGACCTCTCAGCAACAATCGGCCTACAAATCGACCATGAAATTCTCATGGATTTGTTTATTCGAATTTCTAGTGTTATTGCATCGTGATGAGTTGAGCACGGAATTTTTACTAAGATGGAATCGACAAGACCGGATGTATAATTCCCTCCAATCATGAGTTTGATGAGTGATGGAGGTCTATAAGGACAAATCGGAATAAAAGTGAGAGAGAGAATCTAATGTCGTTCAAGTACACGGAGGATGTCCATTATGCTTTGTATCCCAAAAAATGTAAAATGCTTTGTCTGGAAAAATTATGTGCCCTTGAATACATCCATGGTTTTGCTTATAAGAGTCGGAAATGGATAACTTCGACCCCATGAATACTGTGGCTACGTGCGCAAGTCAAAAACAGGCAGATATCTTGCGTCTCGGTCACGTTTGTTGAGATTCGATCGTTGACGCACATCGTCGAACATACAGATTCATTCCGAGATGCCATATACCTGGAGGACGACAACTTGTATGGCCTCGATTTACTTCACGAGAGAGTGCAATCGTCATCCATCGGTCGACAAATGTTACGTCCTAAGTAAGGGACTCCTCCCGCCTGCCATATCTTGATGTACTATGTTTGTCAACCTCACGATGACCGAGCGTGCCTTCCTATCGTGATTGAATGACACCCATTACCGTTCCTTCCAAACAAGGAAGCCGAATAGTATATGCTACATCATAAGTCCTACAGCCCTTTTACGTGACTCTGTTTCTCTCCTTTCGATCCCTTCCTCCTGCTCTGACGCCCTTGAAAGGTCAAAACGATGTCCTCATCTAAAGTGGTGACCGTGGATGGCTTATATGGCCGGCACGATGTCCAAGAAACACGGCTGCTTCGTGACTCGACTCGAAATAGCTTTTCTCGTATCTCCAGTTATTCTCAATCAGTTTCCGACAGTTTGGCAATATTACCTCGCAGTCTCGTCGTGAGGTGTCGCCAGTTACCAGCAACGGCGCTTAATCCATGGCGAGATGCTCACCACTCGACCGTCCTTTGGCAGTTCGACCCATGATCGTACATCTTCAGACGTCTGCCGCCATTGCCGGCGTCGAGTGAGATGTACGTGATATGAAGGTGGATGGGACGTGATCGGCCATCATACACTGTCAGTCGCTCGTTCCCTCGTTCCCTCGTTTAAGCGAGCAACGCGAGCCACAAAAGGACATCTTGTGAAATACGCCCCGTTTCCCTAGTGCCTCTTGCCGGTACAGATTGATGACAGTTGACACGCCCTCGTACCAATGGCCACAGACCAAATTCAACTACGCCCCGTACAATGACACGCCCTCGCATCATTGTTACATAGTATTACACTCCAACGATATGCACCGCCCAGGGGCAAGCCATGTTGGTCCGATGACTGGCCAGGATGGTCGGCCATCAACGGCCTTGGTTTGGCCCTCATGTTGCATCTGACGAGTTGGAGGTGTTTTACAAGACAGATGGCTGCGCGTTTGCTCTGCTCTCTGCGTCCTTGGAAGCCCGGACAACCACTTCTGGCCGAGACAAAAGCACCGCACCAGTGACTCCGTACCAGACAAAACGTGTCCCTGATCCATGACCAGCTGAATGCACGATGCACAATCGAGGCCAGACTGGGGCAACAGCCATTGTCAGTCTGGCCCAATACTATGCTACTCTGTACAGAGTATGGCCTCTTGATCCTGCTCGTGGTGCCGATCTTGTTGGCGGGCAGGAAGGGAGTGGATCTAAAACGAGAGAGACGAGACAGACGAGAAAATGATGGGAGAGAACGAGAAAGAACATCCATTATACGGCCTCGCTAGAGCGGCCCACCTTGGTCCTGCTTTGGCGTACGTCGTAAGCTTTTTATGGCTATCAGGAATGCATATCTGCAAGGCGCTTTGCCACTCTCGCCTTGATTCTGCGTCGTCTTTTCATTCTGTCCTTTTTTATATTTTATATTTATTATTATTATTTCTGCCAATGTTCCTTTATCTGTCTGCCTAGCCGTAATGCAGTCCACTAGGTCCGACCGTAAGACGAAGGCAGAGCAGCCAGGAAAAGGAATAAAAAGCTGGAGAAGCCACTAGCAAGGGTCTTCATGGATTTAATATTCGGATTTTTTTCTTCTTATATTTTTGTATGATTCTGTTCAATAGCTTTGTTCGTCAAGTTTTTCTCGTAACAAGACATCTCGGTCACGGTCTTCGCCTTCATGCCGCCTGTTGCTGCGTTGTCCCTGCATGGACGCACTCTGCATTTTGGTGGGAGGCAGCCGGCCAGGCCATCTGCAGGTCCAGCAGGAATAGGCCCAGAGGCCGGCACACCGTGGACTCCAAAAACTGCACCAAACGTTTTGCCGGCGCGCTACCTGCACCCAGCCTCACTCCCAGTTCCTGGCTTTGGGGATGCTCCACCCGACTGCATTGGTATTGGCATTTCTCACTGTGTTTTCGCCTTGCCTCGTTTTCTTTCCTGTGCTTTGCCTTTGCACCCATCGGCCTCGCCACATTTTCCCTCTTTTTGTCGAACCCGCAAATTTGGCTCAAACTAAACAACCGAGAGTCAGACACATGCAGGGGAATCGATGCCGTAGACGAGAGAGGACACCTTTCTGAGGGATTCTTGGGTTTATTTTTAGTCTATCTAACATCCGTGACTCGACTCCAGTGACGGGCATTTCCACAGTTGCGACTTGACAGTGCACAGAACTTTGTAGATCCAGGCCAGTGGATTTTGCTTAGTCATTTTGAAGACTGGCCGGAGCAAGGAGTCCAGCAAGTCTTGGCTATCTGTTGAAGAACGCAGCTCTGCAAGAAGGCGCCATGGTTGGAGACTGGGCGATGTATCATATACGTTGTAAACATCGTCATGTTTATTTCGTGCTAGGCGACATCTTCGAGTGAAAACTGGTTGCCGACAGTTTGTGATGGAGTTGAGAGTTTGCAATCAAATTCGCACGTGACCTAACCGCCAGATCGCGGCCAAGAATTTACAGAAGCCCCCGTAAGATTACAGTAAGCTGAGCCCCGGCGACGTCAGAGCTCCTGCCTTTCAGTGTGTCCACAGCCTGAAACAAAGCGTGAGCGAACGGATTAGGAAGCTTCGGTCAACACACGACTCGACTCCCCGACCTCCATCGTAGCTTCCACGACTGTCGGCCTATCGCATCCGCGCTTTCCGACAGCGACGGCGATTGCGACTACGGAAGGACCAAACAACATCACGACCACAACATCGAAAACAGCGAAAACAGCGAAAAGCATCATCGCTAATTAAAGACTGTCGTCGACAAGCTGCATTGTCGACGCAGTCTCCCTCCATCCCCTATCTCGACCTCGTCTCCTAACATCTCCCAGCCTCCTCACGACAACCATGTGCGACGGTACGGGTGCTGGCGAGTGATTTGACCCGAATCACACATTTCTCCGACGTCGACCACCCTCCATTTTTTATCGAAAGTTCATCCCCTCATCTCGCCATCGCCAGACGCACGAGACACAATGGCGGACTTCGGGTCGCCCGTCTCAAAGTCGCTGGCGGCACGTCCGGCCGGTATCAGCAACGGCAACGGCTCCAACGTCCCCCCCGCACCCACGACACCCAACCTGACCACCTCTTCCTCCACCACAAGGCCACCAGCTGTCTCTGCCAAATCCTCGACCGGCGGTGCGCCGCGCTCCTCCATTGCGGTCAGCTTGCACGAGGCCGCCCTCGACTCGCCCTCCTTCCGCGCCAGCGCTGTTCTTTTCGCCGAGCAGGTCGACGGCATCGAACGCTGGCTCGAGAGCTATGCCAAGAGCACCGCAAAACTCGTCCATGATTTTGCCGGCCTCGAAGACACCATCCATGCCTACCTATCTAAAATCGTGCCTCCGCCCGGCGTGGCCGACGGCGTGATCGACGCAGACCACACCCTGCTCGCCCTCAAGCGCGTCAGCGACGGCTCCCGCGACTGGTGGGCCGGAGTGTCGGCCGCGCTGCGCCGCTTCGATACTGTCAATGCCGAACCCATTCGCATGTTTTTGCACAACGACATTCGCGTTTTCAAAGAGACCCGCCGCATCCTCGAGCATGCGCAGAAGACATACGACACAGCCCTCGCCCGCTACGTCGCGCAGAGCAAAGCCAAAGAGCCCTCTGCGCTGCGCGAGGACGCCTTCGCCGTGTACGAGACCCGCCGCGCGTACCTCAAGGCGTCCATGGACTTTTGTCAGATGGCGCCGCAGCTGCGGTCCGGCCTCGACAAGCTGCTGACGCGCGTGTCCGCCGAGGTCTGGCGCGAGATGAAGCGCACGCGCGAGACCAGCAACGCCCTCGCCAGCGCCACCCAGTGGGGCGCCGAGATGGAGCGCATCCGCGGCTGGGCCAAGGACATTGAGCTGGCCGAGGCGCCCCTCAAACGCGAGCTGCAGCTGTCCCGGCGCGAGATTGGCGAGACCACGCTGGCCACCATCCGGCCCTCGCGCGAGCTCGACGACTACAGCGCGTCCACCGTACCGTTCCTGGGGTCGCGGGGCCCACCGTCGGCAGTGGCCCCCTCCTCGGCGGGCTCACCGGGCGCCGTCATCTCCGAAAAGCAGGGCTGGCTGTTTCTCCGGACTGTCACCGGCAAGCCCGCCCGGGTCAACTGGCTCCACCGCTGGTTCTACTGCCGCGACGGCATCTTTGGCTACCTGGTGCAGGGGCCCCAGGGCGTCTTGCAGGGCGACGACATTGGGGTGCTGCTGTGCAGCGCCAAGCCGGCCGTCCAGGAAGACCGCCGGTTCTGTTTCGAGGTCAAGACCAAGAGCCAGAACCTCATGCTGCAGGCCGAAACCCAAGGCCAGCTGACCGAGTGGCTCGAGGTCTTTGAAGTCGCCAAGCGTAAAGCCTTTGAGGCCAGCATGGCCCGCGACAACGCCGCCACGCCTCTGGGCAGCGTGGACCCGGCCTTTGCCATCACCCCACCCTCAGTCGCTGATTTTTCTGCGCGCGCACTCGATGCGATCCAGCTCGGCACGTTGGACGAGTCCGGTGGCGATCGTGACCGTGGTGAGCGCGGCGGAGACCGCGAACGTGGCGATAGCGGCGCCGGCCTCACCATGAGCCATTCTGGTACGTTGCCCGTCCCCGGCGGCGGGCCTGATGCAGGGCTGGTCGCGCGCAATAGCTTTGACGTCTCGGCGGTGCCCCCGCGGCGCTCCATCACCATGCTGGGCCAGGAGCTGCGGCGCGAGGAAGGCGAGAGCGGCAGAGAGCACGCCGCCCGCATCATGCAGAGACTGGATATGCACCGCAAGGCCACCTTTGGTTCCGGCGCCGACAAATTCGGTGACAGCCCCGGCAACAGTGGTAGTAGCGGTGGCCTCGGCACCAACGGCGGCATGTCCTCGTCAAATCTGTCTCAGCAGCCGCCGGGCATTGCCAGCCTCATCTCGGCCAGCCACAGTATGCTGCCCAGCTTCCCTGCCAACGTGACTCTTGGCCAGGCGCCGGCGTCGCTTCCTGGCCCGCAACAGCAGCAGCAACAGCAGCGTGGACCTGGCGGCGCCACGCTGTCCCCCTTGGAAACGCGCCGCGGCCTGCTGGCGCCCATCACGTTTGCCAAGCCCCCGCTCGTTACCTTTTTGAGCAAAGTCGCCGTCAATGCCAGCAGCGAGCGCGTTTTGTGCCGACCCAGCCATGTCGGCGGCCTGCCGTCGGGCATCCTGGCCAACTACTGGGGCAGCCAGCCATGGGGCGACAGCTTTGTGTCCAAGGGCAACGAGTACAAAAATGATGCGGCCGCCTTCGAGAACAGCGACTTGTCTGTGGTGAACTCGCCCGGTACGCCGACAGTCGGCTCCCCCGCCGTTGGCACGCCCGTCTCGGCCCACCGCAAGACTGTCAGCGTCGACACCGCCAAGCTGGCCGATGCCCGCCACGGAGGCAGCAACGACCGCGGCGCGCCCGAGACGTTCCCGCCCAACTACCCGACTGAGCTGCGCACGCAGCATGCGCAGTTCCGCCTGCTGTTCCCGTCGGTACCGCTCTCTGAGAAGCTGGTGCTGGTCTTCAACGCGGCGTGGTCCAGCGCGTCCGAGGCCGGCACGGCAAACCAGGGTCTGGTGGGCAGCGGCCGCATCTACGTCACGTCGGACAACATGTACTTTTACAGCACGAGCATGGGTCTCGTGGTGGCCTACGCGGTGAGCCTGGATTTGATTACGGAAGTGACGTCAGCGCCAGGCAAAGACTGCGACTACACCTTTTTGCATCTCAGCCAGGACGTCATGAACGAGACGGGGTTCACGCGCATTACGATCAAGACGTTCTTGGAGGACATGAACGTGCTGCAGGCGCGTCTGAACCTGCTGATTGACAACCTGCAGGCGGCGGAGCCGATGGGCGTGTCGGACATTCTCGTCGCGCTGCAGAGCATTGTGCACGACGAGGACGCGACCGGACGCAAGAGCCCGAGCGTGGCCAGCTGGGACCAGCTGTCGCTTGCGTCGCCTGTTGACGAGCACGGCAACATTTTGCATTTGGCGCGGCATGGGGGTCACCGCACTGTCTCGAGCCACAGCCATGGCGGCGGCGGTCGACGCATCACCAGCACGGGTAGCCGCGGTCTGGCCACGGCCACCCATACGGGCCGCACGCTCGGCAAGCTGCAGCTGCCGGCCCACCCGGTCGTGTTTGAGCCAAACGACATGCAGAAGAAGGTGGCGGAGCGGCACTTTGAAATCAGTGCCAAAGCGTGCTTCCATGTACTGTTTGGCGACAAGTCCTTCATCTTCCCCAAGCTCTACTTTGACCGGCAGGCGCGCGAGATCGAGCAGGGGCCGTGGGTACTGTCGGACCACGGCTTGACAACGCGGCAGTTCTTGTTCAGAGTCGAAGCGGTCGACATGCTCGGACGCAAAAAGGACGAGAATGTGGCCGACCAGCAGACCATCGACATCTTCCAGGACCACGTGATGTACGTGGTCTCGCACGTCAAGACGGCGTGGCACCTGCCGCACTCGACGGCCTTTAAGCAGGTGACCAAGATTGTGATTACCCACGTGGCCAAGTCCAAGTGCAAGCTGGCGGTCTATGTCAAAGTGGACTGGTCGAACCCGCCGGCGTTTAGCAAGAACCTGGTGGAGCGGCAGGCGCTCGACGACGCGTCGCGCGACGCCGAGGAGCTGGCGGAGGTGGCGACGGACGAGGTACGCAAGCTGGGCGCACACAGCCGCACGAAGCGGGCGATGCAGGTGTACGGCAACATTGGGCAGCAGACCAAGGTGGTCAAGTTTGCGCCCAACGAGGGCGCGGGCAGCAAGCAGCGCAACACGACGCAAATGAAGCCGCGCACGCTGACGGAGATGCTGCTGGAGACGTTCCGGAGCTTCATGGAGTCGGTCGTCACCAGCCTGGTCATGTGGGCGTTTGCTGGGTGCCGCTCTCTGTTCCGCGTGGCCTCGGCGCACCGGCTGCTGCTGGCCGTGCTGGGCTTGAGCGTCGCGGCCAACCTCATCTTTTCGTCCCGCGAGACCGCCGCCTGGTGGACCGAGCGGCACGCCACGACGTACATGCGCAAGCTGGGCGTCGGGCCCAATGTCATGATGAGCAAGTCGATCTACCTCAGTGACCTGGAGGCGGCGTCGCACGCTCGCAGCGACGCGGTCACGCCGCAACGCGGCCGTCGCAGTGACAAAGACAGCATTTGCTATTCTACGTTCCTGTCGATTGCCAATGCGACGGACTTGGACGCTCCGTACGAGGATGCCGGCGCACTCCTGTCGTCACCGACGAGCCGGGCCACGGCGCAGCGGCTTCGGCGGACTCGCCAGAAACTTGGGTCGTACCGGCACGACTTGGTGGTGGCGATGCGGGTGGTCAACAGCGTGGAGCGCGAGATGGTGCAGTCGGAGTGGGAGAACTGGCTGGCGGACGAGACACAGCGGTGCGACCAGGTGAAGGCGATGCTCACGAAGCGGACGGCTGGCGAGCGAAGCGAGGACAAAAAGAGCGAAGACAAGAAGAGTGAAGACAAGAAAACCGACAAGACGGACGGTCGCATGGCCCTCCTCGCACACTGGCACGACGACTATTGCGGGAGCTGCCACGCCGACCAGCGTGCATTGGACGACGAGGAATGGCGACGATCGATGATCTGATGGGCAGACTGTGATTGGACTCAAGTACAGAGTTCTTTTGGACCAACCGGTTTGTCTTTGTTTTATTTTCTATTCCGGCCTGTACTATAAGACGGCACAAAGTAATTGGTGACGAATCGAGGGCGCGTGTATATAGCGAGCGAATGTGTGTTTCAGTACAAAACAATCCACTGCCCTTTCTGTCGTATGCGGCCTTTGCGTGTGGATATGAGACAGGCGTGAACTGTGAGCCAGGGCTTGGGAAGGGAAGACTGAGTGTTGTCGTGAAGCGGAGGCCTAGACCGCCGTGGTAGCTGTAGCGGGCGCCGATGTGCTTGTGGCAACCCAATAGTGCCGTTGATGGGGTGACGTCATTGGCGACCGGCCCAAACTACAGCGATCACCAGCCATTCCGGTATGCAGGCTTCCTGACACCACTGGGCAATCTGGCGACGCTGTTGCATTGGCGAAGAACCGAGCATTTGCGAAAAAATGACGATGTCAAGATAACGAGGCAGGGAAATTGACGCGAAATTACGGTGTCATGATTATTTCAACGTTGTAGCTTCGACGAAATCTGTTTTTGTCGGCTTTCGTTTCTTTCTTTTTTTCTTCCTTTCTGACTTGACGAACCAAAACAGGCAGCCGATCAGCATATTCACAGCACTCGTTCGACCCGCCTGTTCCTGATTCAGCGCCCCTCGATTATTGTGCGGTCGCTCTTTAGCCGTTGAATAGCGAAGCTTCTTCTCCTTGTCGGCATTCTCTTTTCGGTTCTCTTTTGTTTTCCTGCCTCCTTTCCCTTTCGGTTGTGTCATCTGTTCGTTTGTTTTATCGTTTGCCTTTGTGGACGCCAGTGTCGCAGCGTACTTTGATCGCCCTCGCCTCACACTATGAGCATCAACGACAACCCGCTGGCGGCCCTCGGCCCTGTGTCCTGGGACAACCTCGACCAGGACGCGCTCGACCATTTTCTCTCTGACACTTTCACCTGTGCCCAGATCCTGACTGACTCTATCCCGACGACCGCTTCTGTTTCAACCTCCTCGTCCAGTACTGGCAGACCACGCTCCCAGACCGACGGCGCTGTCTCGTACGGCCTGCACTCGGCGCCTGTCCCTCACCATGGCGCCGGCACAGCTACGCCCTCGACGGCGGCCGACGACATGAGCGCCGCCAAGGCCGAGAAGCTGCGGCAGGACCTGCGGCAGTCGTGGAAAGAGGTCAAGACGGGAGGGTCGAACCCACGCAACATTGTGGTGTACAAGATGAATGGCGGACGTGACGGATATGCGGGGAGCAGTTGGTTTGCACGGCGGAGTGTGCACCGAGTCGAGAAGGCGAAGCCTGACGCGGCAACGGCAAAAGGCAAACAGGATCTCATAGGTCGCGATGTCGAGATTGGCTTGGACATGTTCCGGCGGGCGTTGCTGAAAGAGTTTGCGCTCCCCGAGACGGGCGACGCGGATGGACAGACGAGCGGATCATCGACTGTCCGGACAATGATCACAAAGAAGCGGGTTGAGCATGTTGTTGTCAACGGCCAGGGCCATGATGCGCACGATGATGCACATGAGGCAGAAGAGGAGGCGGCCGAAACACACCACGGTCACAACGACAAGTCTTCCGTCTCCCGCCAGCTTGATGTCTATCTCCTCGAAGCCGAGTTCCCCGGACCAACCACCGCACGCGACTTTGTCACCATGCTGTTGACCACCCAGGGTCCATGCCAATCACCACCCACGCCGCCTTCTTCCACAACCTCCTCTTCCTCCCCTTCCCAAAACAACGGCCGTGGCCTGCGCCAGTTCATGGTTGTGTCCAAACCGTGCCAACACCCCGAAACACCGCAACGCCCCGGCTATGTGCGCGCCCAGTACGAGTCAGTCGAGGTCATTCGTGAAGTGCGCGTGCCGGTGGCAGAGTCGGCAGCACGGCGACTGGCGAGCAACTCGCGCAAGACGCGCTCGTCGATTGATCTTAAGCACGCCGACACGACCGACACCGACGCGTCGGATCTTGACTCTGACGGCCACGAAACCGCCATTGAGTGGCTCATGATCACCCGCAACAACCCGGGCGGCAATGTGCCGCGCTTCCTCGTCGACAGGAACACGCCATCGAGCATCATTAGCGACGCGAATAAGTTCTTGGACTGGATGGTGGCGCAGCAAGTCGAGGAGACTCTGAAAAAAGAGTCCAACGAGTCCAAGTCGCCAAAGAAGCCACAGGAGAAAGGCGTCGCGGCAGCAAAATCGGTCCCAAAAACACCACTGCCAGCGGCCATCCTAGAAGAGGAGGACGAAGAGATACCTGCGCAAAAGGAAGCATCGCTCAACAAGGCGAGCGATCTTGCGGGGGACGACGCCCCCCGCAACAACGGTGACCGCTCGAGCACGTCTCCGTCGGTGACTATCTTGTCGCTCGAGAGCAGCGGAGGCGCAGCCTCGTCAACGAAGCTCTTTAATATGCTGTCTGGTGCTTTGGGTGGTGCTGGTACAGCTGTTGCATCCAAGTTGCCGAACCCCTTTGGCAGTGCCGCCCAGATATTGCACTCGTCCTATGAAAGCCAGCTCGACGTTGACGACGACGACAATGACGACAACGAAGACGAAATTGGTTCCTCGGAAGATAGTGATGACATGTATAGCGATATTGACCACGCGGACGATGATATAGGCGAAGAGATCATACCTAGCCGCCGTGAACAGTCGGCGCACGAACAGACGACAAGGAGCACTGAAAGGCCAATGGCTGCAGCGTCAACAGACACTGCCTCGGCAGGTTCTGCTGCGTCCATTCAACCACCGCCCCCGACAACGGCTCTCGAAATGATGGCCCACGACCGCGCCCTGGCCTTGCGCCGCGAGAACCGGTCACTCACAGGATTGTCGACGGGCGGATCCAGTGTGATGGCCAGCGATATCGACAACGACACGGAAACGGGTAGTGCCGTGCCATCCTCCAAGAAAAAGAACAAGATCGAACAGGTTTCCGCCACCAAAGCTGCGAAAGCTGCCAAGGCCGCCGATGCCGCCCGCAGGAAGCACGAAAAGGAGCTGCAGAAGCTGCAGGACCGCCAGCGCAAGGCCGAGCTCGACATTCTGAAGGCGAACAAAGGCAAGACGGGTCTGGATACCCTAGAAAAAGAAAAGGGTGACGTCGGCAACAGCGCTCAGAGCACCAAGAGTGCCGACAGCGCGACGAACGTCTCGGGTTCGGCGTCTGCCGCGGCCGCCCACTCCTCGTCCTCCTCCATCTCGGCCGATCCAGCCAACACCGAGCTCCAGAAGCTGCGCGAGAAACACGACCGTGCCGTCGCCCGTCAAGAAGCTCAGTACCAACGAGAAATGGAAAAGATCGAGAAGAAGCGTCAGCAGAACGCTGCAAAGGAGGCTGCGCGTCTGCGTAAGCAACAGGAGCGCGACGACAAGGCCGATACGGCGCGGCAGCTGACCCACGCGCGTGCTGAGCGGGACGTGGCCCGTAAAGAGGTTGACATGCTGGCCGAGCGGGTGCGGCAGCTGGAGGCCCAGAACGAGCTGTTGGCAGCCGAGGTGGCCAAGGCGACGGGCAACGCCAAGTTGTATGCCAAAGTAGAGGATGCTGGAGAAGATTGAGAACTGTTGAGGTCTGTTGAGAACTGTTGAGGACTGCGACAAGGTTAGGACACCATAGCGATCTTATAATGAAAACCTTTGCAAAAATCACCAAAAAGAATAAAAGACATGATATTTCCTCTAACCCTTCGGATCCAAAACTCCAAAATATCTGATTCTGCGTCCTCACATCGCCACCTTTTCCTTGGCCATGGCCAAGAGCAGGCCATGAACGTGGGCCTTCTCACCCGCCTCTTGGAAAGTCGTCAAAAGAGTCGACAGGCGTTGCAGATTGGTGTCTGTGGCCTCGATTTGATGTGCAAGGACAGCCCGGGTGCCCAAGATCAACCGAGCACACACCGCAAACACGCCCGGCGCGGCCGTCCAGCCCAGCGGACCATCGTCGCCATCGGGACCTCGCACATGAGAGACAAGAGCCTCCAGACCGTTGGCCAACCACCCAGTTAGACTGCCAATGCCGTCCCCCTCGGTGTTGCCGGCAATGACAGAAGCCCAACGCTTCGCCTCCCGCACCTCGTCCACGTATAGATTGTGCTCCTCGACAAGGAAAAGGGCGTCATCAAACTCGAGCGCCTCTTCCAACAAAGTTGCTGCAGATGGCCACAATGTGACTTCGAATGTACTACTGTGGCCCTCCATCCGCGCCGCAGCCTGTTTGACAAAACCAACGGATGCGCCAAACCGGCTGGCCAGCCACATTGGCAACCGCCGTGCTGCCTCACCCGGAATAAGCGGTGTTTCCAGGACCGCACCCGCCGCCTCGGCCGCCACGTCGCGGATTTCGTCGTCATCGTCATTGAGAGTGTCGTAGACGCAAGACACGAACAGCAGCAAGTCATTGTCGTTGGCCACCGCGGCAAACGGAGCAGCCGTGGCAAGTGCAAACGACCGCAGTGCCTCAGTCGCCGCCATACGAGTGTCAAACGTCTGCGCAGGATCAATCGCGGCCTTGATCATGGCCACCCAAGCGGAGACGGAGAGGAGGCTGGTGCTGGGTCTGTCTTTCGCTCGGACGGACGCTGCAAGGATGGGTCCGCTGGCCCGCAGCACGGCCCACGACAGAGTGGGGTTGATGGCACCTTGGCTGGTGGCCGACCACACATATACAAGGCTGTCGATGGCGGGAAGCAGGTTGTCGTTGCCACGACCGTCGCCAAACAAAAGGTAGTCCATAACCTCAGCCAGGTTGAGGAGGGCAACTGCTCGCACTTCGGCCGCCGCAGCAACCTCAAGAGAAACACTGACATACACCGTTGTTAGCCATGATGCAGTGTCCGGGGTTTGCTTGGCAGCGCCGAACCAAGACGCCTGCACGGTCTCGAGCAGACGTGTGGCATTGTCGGGATCTGAGACAGCGACGCTCGCAACGAGGTTCTCAAGCATGTGACGGTCGTCAAGCTCCACAGCAGTGTAGTTGACTTGGAGAATGGTCTGTGCTTTGAGAAGTGCCGACGGGACCGCTACATTGTCCGCGGGCGCGGCGACCGTTTTGGAGATGGCTTCACCAACGCTGACATTGAACTGTAGAGCAAGACTGGCAATTGTATTGCGTGCTTCGAGATAGGCCGCTCTCACCTCCGGACATGTCGTAAACCGACCGTTCGCGGCTGCGAGAGTATCAAGAACCGACAAAAGTGGCCGCAGGCTGCTCGTGACGGAAGCACCAGAGATGCCAGCCACCCGAACCAAAATAAATCGCACTGCGAGGAGCGAGCCATGCCAGCGGTTGACAGAGGTCATGGCCGATTTGTCGAGGAGAAGTTGTTGGACACCAGCAGCCCAATTGTCGTTGTTTACCAGGAACGAGCACACAGTACGAGCTGCCATCTCACGGACATGCCACAAGTGGCTACCCAGGTAATGAACAACCGCCTCGTACAGTTCGGCGCGGTGTGTTTCGGGCGGCCCTGCACGGCGGATGATATCCAGGGCCGGGAATACAGACTCGGCAGCCGCCTGTTGCGACTCGATCTGCAGATGGCCACTGCTGGACGACACTGCCTCATCTGACAAAGCCTTGTCTGTCCGAAGTAGACTCAAAAGGACTCCAGGTAACGTCGGGTACCTATTATAGGAAATGCGGATCGTCCGGCCGTCCCAGCCGGACTCAAGCGACGCCTTGGATTCGCCTGTGCCAAACAAACAGTCAATCAAACTACGCAGCAGTAACAGGCCGCAGTTGCGGATCGCCCACACGTCCGACCGCAAACTGTTGGCCGCTAATTGAAGACACTCAGGCAGCAATCGCTCCGCACGTTTGCTAAGAAGAGAACTGCGGAACACATCGCGGAGGCAGTTGAAGGCGTGCACCTGTGGCAGTCGCGAGCCGTCGGCCGCGCGCTCGGCAGAGTTGGCCGGCTGTTGGGCAATGCTGCATGCCGTACGGATGGCGGCGTCGAAAAAAGCCGGCTGCGACGTGCTCGATGAGGCCAAAATGCCCGAGAAGAGGGCGGGAATGCCGGCGGATCGCCGCGTCGTCGAGACTTGAGTTCGAATGCAATTGAGCGTGCCCTGAAATGTTAGCAATATACTTTTAAAACTGTCATGTGTGTTTAAGCAGGCGAGGCCACCCACCTTGTACCATGTCGCCACTAAGGTGGCGTCTTCTGCTGTACCGGGCACTGTCACGGATGGGTCTTGTGCCAACTGACAGCACATGGTGAAAGTCTGCGCGACCGTTGTCAGCGCACCCCGGTGACGCAGTGTCGACAGCTGCTCAAAGGCCAGGTTACCAATGCGTTCAAACACGGCCCGGCTCGGCGTCAGCGTTCCCTTGACACGACTGAAGCGGATGTGTGACACAATGGCCCGCATCGTGTTGCTTGACTCGTTGATGGACCGGAAGCTAAAACTCAACAGGTCCTTGGAGTCGAGATTGGAAATACCTTGGTCTTCCAAGTCGTCGGGGATGTGTCCCTCGGGTGAGTCGTCGCACAGGACGTGCTTCACGACATGCCACACGCGCTCACAGCTCTTCACAATCCGCGCCTGGACCTCAACGAGCGTCGCCAAGTCAGCATCCGAGTACTTGGCCTTGGCCAAGACGGCCCAGATGAACCTGATTGATGCAAACTCGCCGTGTACAGATCCCCGGATGGCAGCAGAGGCCAGGTCCGTCTCAGCCCGCTCAATCTTGGTCTCCAGGACGTCAAGTACTTGAGACAGGATGGCCTTTTGCGCCTCCAGGTCGTTAAAAGCCCAGCTGCACATCAGGCCCTGGCAGCGCGCAGCGCCATCAGCGTGATCCTGACGTGCAGTTTGGGATGCACGGTGATCAGCGCGCCGGCTGAAGTTGGCAAGAACGTCCCGAAGAGAGCCCCTCTCGGCGGCCACAAGTTCTGGCGGTGCCAACACAAGCAGAGACGTGGCCACGTCGCGCACATCGTCAAAGGGATCCATAATCAAGTCTAGGACACATCGCACCCACGCATTGTCGTCAAACAGTCGCCGCACCAGTGCCATGTCTAGTGTATCCGACACACCACCCGACACGTCTCGCCGTTGCCGCAGTAGCCATGATGTAGCCTTGAGTGATGTAAAGTGGCGCTGGTAGGATGCTGTCGGAGCCATCTCGGCACGGAGAAACGTCAGGTACCATGTCAAGAAGGCCTCGTGCTCGGTGAGAGTCTTCTGGATAGTGGCATCATCGATCTTGACTGCCTCCATCTTCTTGAGGCTCGACTTGCTTTGGCCGCTCGGGTCGCCCTTACCACCACGTCCCCAACGCTGCATCGTGGCGATGGCACTCTTTAACCGCAAAGCCATGTCACGCGTGTGTGCCAGCAGCTCATACCGGAACTTTGCGTCCGACTCGGCGTGGTATGTTGGCAGATACCGTTGCAGCAGGTCGAATGCTGTGGAGGAGTAGGGTTTCGTCGTGGACTGAGACGAGACGAGCAGAGAGAGTGCCAGCGAGCGCACGTCCGTCGGAGCTCGTGCCAGCACACCGTCCAGGACCGACTCGTTGAGCACAATGACACCGCCTTTGGCAACCTTTCCCGTCAAGTTCAAGCCCGGGTCATCGACGAGGCCCGCCTTTTTGCCGACTTCAAGAGCGGCAAGCTGAAGGACCGCACCGACCGTGTCATTGTTCTCCTTCTCGGTTGCAGTGGACACCTCGTTTTTGTTAAGAATCTCGAGAAGCTGTAGTGACCGTGTGCGGTCGGTCTTGAAAAATGGAATGAAAAAGTACAGCTTGACATCCTCCAAAATGGTGGGATGCACTTCCAAGCTGTTGCGTAACCATTGCAGCCACATCTCGACGGAAAATTCGGGGAACAGTGCGCTGCCGCCGTCCTCTTGAAAAGTTGCTGTTGTCTGCAGGTACGCAAAGACGGCCACAAGAAACTTGCCGGCCACAGGACAAACATAGTGCAGCGTCATCCACGCGAACATGTCCGCAACAAGCCGCCGCCAGGTGTCAAGGCTCGGCTCCGTGGGAATGTCGTCATCATCACCAACTTCGCGGCCGTACGCCCTCGCCACCTCTTCGTAATCATACACGCCCTTTCCCAGCAGGTAATGCAGCGATCCGATCGACGACTTGACGAGTGGCCGGGTCGACTTGCGGCTGACAATGGTCACGAGCGTCTGCAGGATTTCGTTTCGAAGAGCCGTCCGTGTTGCTTCGTCTGGGTTCTGCAGGATCAGCAGAGCAACCAAATCAAGTACGAGCTTAAGCGAGCGGTGCTGGTCCTTCTCGTTCCATTCAATGTAGAAGTGGAACAGCCGCAGCGCCGTAGCGGACCTGAACGCCCATTCTGTGACGGCATCCGGTGCCCGTGTTGCACAATGCTGGACAAAGCCGCATAGCTTGGCACAAGCATTGACGGACGAGACGCGAGATTTGGCCGCGTTCGCCAGGAGTTGTACAAACAGAGCTTCTGCCAGTCTGTTTGGCGGTTATATGTCAGCAGATACACAGAGACACGGTATGGGAATATCTCGTTTGATTTTATGTCTTACTCTTGGAACTGTGCTTCAGGCTGTTGTTCCAGCCATGAAAACAACGTGTTTGCATTGGCAGAGGGCTCGTCGATATCGGGAAGATGTGGCCTTTCCATCTTGAAGAGATGTGTCAGGGGCAATGTGAATAGAGGAAGGTGCCCTGATATGAGGCAGACGAGAGGGAAAGAACGAAGGGCAGTCCCCAACTGGGGACGACAAAAGGATCGAAATCTGCTCAGTCGCAGCGTGTCATACTGTCTTGAGAGATTCAAAGGCGGTGAATGAGCGGAATTGTTTTGGTTAGATATATGTACATAATTTTGAAATTTGTCTATTTTTCACAGCTTCTTGAGTCTTCTGTTGTTGTCGTTCGGTGGCCCACAGTTGGGCGACGTTTGACTTTTTCGGCTACTCGGTTACATGCATTCGAGATATGCATATAAACCGTTTGGTGATGCCGGTGGAATTAAACACCAAAAATGGCCACAACCATGTTACAAAATTTTCAATTTTGGGGACCGTACGCCTCAGAAACTTGATATAAACTTGAAACAGCCTTGGATGACTTTCACTTACCAACTTCATCAGGATGCAGGGACATGAATCGTTGTTGCAGCTCAGTCACGTGCCACCAACGACAAGGCTGCGCTACCACCTGAGTCTCCACTTTTACCGAAGAAGCGCGAAGAAAGAACAACGGGTGGAAAAACGCACGGTTCAGCCGAGGGGACAAGGAATTTTCTAGCGGGCGGCTGTCATTTTTCGCTTTATTTTTTAATAATTTTTTTGGCCCGCAATTGCCCTTCAAAGACTATTTCGTACACAGGTAGCAAACAAATTTGCACTCACATTTTCGCGAGAACGATCGCCTGAGCGACAACCTGCGCACACTCTCTCTCCACGCACCCTCGATAATTGCTGGACCGACGACGTTTGCCTTCGATTTTTTCGGTCGCCTTTCATTTTGACTCTTCCTATTGTCTCCCATTTGCGCTGTCCAGATACGACCGCATCGACCGACGCAACCCCTCCCCCACAACATCGCGAGATCTCGTTTTCTTTTCTGCTGCCTCTCTCGCCTCACGCCCAACCCATTTGCACAGTCACACGCAGTTACAAACACACTTCGCCATGTCGATCTGGGGCGCCTTGACAGGACGCAAGTCCTCGTCCACCTCTGAGCCGAACCACGCCGATTCCAGGTCCTCTTCCTCTTCCTCGTCAATCCCCGCACACACCGTCTACGACTCGCCAGCACCAGCAGGCGCACCATCAGGAGGCAATGCCGCACTGGCGACCCTCGGCAGTGGCGGTGCCGACTCGTTCCTGCAGAGCTCCACGTTCGCCGACCCGACGCAGCTGCACCCGCTCGCCGGCCTCAACAAGGAGACGCTCGAGTACATCTCTATGGAGGACTCGACCCTGTCGGACCTTCCCGGCTCGCAGTCCGTGCTGCCCTCGCGCGGCTTCACAGACGACCTGTGCTACGGCACGGGCATTACGTATCTGACGGCTTTGTCGCTCGGTGGTGCCTGGGGCCTCCAAGAAGGCCTGCGGCGGTCTGCCGGCCAGCCACCCAAACTGCGGCTGAACTCGGTGCTCAACGCCGTGACACGGCGGGGTCCGTTCCTGGGCAACTCGGCGGGTGTTGTGGCCATCTGCTACAACTGCATCAACTCGTACATTGGCTACCTGCGCGGCCGCCACGATGCCTTCAACTCGGTGCTGGCCGGCGGCCTCAGCGGCATGCTGTTCAAGAGCACGCGCGGTGTGCGGCCGATGATGATCTCGGGCGGTATTGTTGCGTCCGTGGCAGCAGCCTGGACGGTAAGTCGGCCCTGAACTTCCTCGTATCAGCCAAGACATCTTCTAACAAAGATAGGTTACCCGTCGCACATTCTTCCCGATCCCCGAGCCTCACTCCGCCCACTAGGCGAATCACCTAGGGACGACCGGCTGCCACTGGGAACGTTCAAGGCCCACCGGGACCGCCTTGAACGTTCCCGTTGACAGTGCCGTCGCCCCGTTTTGTGACCACCAGCCATATATGCATTCGGCCTTCGTCGTCGGTTGACTGTCGCCCCATCCAAAGACGACAAGTTATGTTTTGAAACGAATCTCAGGAGTAATATCATCTACATCCAGAACGGCGGGCGCGAGAAAGGAGAGAATGAATGTGAACATTGGAATTTGGGAGGGAAAACGCATATTTTTTACAGCGAGCAAAAAGTCGGGTGGGTTGGTTGTCATTCTGGGTTACACATATCTCTACTCTCGGCATTTTCTTTTTTTTCGGCCTCCTTGTTTCCCCCCCATTTTTTTATCTCTTGTATATTACTAGACAGTGCTTGCCGTTTTTCATCTTTCCCTCCCTTCTTGCTGCTGTACGTCATACGGCTTGCTAACCTCCCGCTTTCTTCTCACTCCTCCACCGTTCTCTTCTCCACCATTCACCTTCCCTTTTTCCTATATATAGGCGTCACCCAGGAGGGTGCATGCACATGGCGTGCGTGGCAGGCGTTTCTAGGATGACAATTTAAAAATTTAAAGAGCACATATTCACGGATACGATGCCGCCTTGGAGAGTGCAGGCGTGGTAGCCTTGCGATGCTGGTTAGGTTGTATGAGCAACTTGTTGGCCGCTTTGGGCCTCCTAGCCGTGCCTTCCTGTCTTGTACCGAGCTGCCTTCGTCTACCATTTCTTCACTTTCCACTCCATTTTTACGCAGCACCCCAGCAATCATTAAACTGCCGTCTGCATTAATTTATTCTCTTGCCTCTCCACCCTTCACTCTCCATTCTTCACATCTACATCTGTGACAATGTGCTGGCCCTTTTCCGACGTTTACCTCGAGGAAGATCCCGACGAGCACTATCGAATGCGCCGTACCGGCATGTACCAGTACGATTGGAACGGCCAACAGTGGATGCTGAAGCAGACTTCGACCATTGTGAGTTTGCGGCTCTTTGCATCGTTTGTACTGATTTATATTCCTTCTCTACCTTGTTACCTTCTTCTGATATCGCATTCTTTTCTGTTGTTTCATTTCTACCCTTTGTCCCGTTTGCGCTCTGCAAATCTACCGTTCGTTTTCAAGCTGTGTATCTCCCTATGCGCCTCCGAAGCCGGCTGTCACATCTTCACAGTCCCATCACCAGGCCATCGACGACAGCTGTCAATGGAGAGGATTTGTCAATAGCCCTCTGGACTTGTGCAAGACTTTTTTGCCAGTTATGGGGAGAAGTGCGTATTCCTGCCTTCCCCGCTTCTGTCAACGATGTTGACGGTCGTTCTTCCCCTTTTTGTATTCAATCCTGCTCGTGCCTTCTCAATCTGATTTTCAAACTTCATATCTGGCCACCTTGCAGCATCAAAAGAGGTCATGTGCCTGTTTTCGGCCATGGAAAAATCTCTGCACTCTACCTCCCGGGTTTCTGTATCACGTCCTTATCACAGCGTCATTCACTTTCGGGCACAAGTCCCTTTCTTTTCATATCCCCCCTCCCTTTCCAAGTCTCCTCCCACCATACCAAAATGTCTTCATCACCGCCTGGGTCACCGACGCCAAGACGATACAAATCTCGAAGCCACCGCGTGTCGTTTGACATGGGCCTCATAAACCCCTCAAAAGCCCCTGGTTTCTTCACTCAACTTGCCGCTGCCACAGCGAACACACTCCCAGTTCAGCAGAAGTCCACTGCATCATCTCGCCACAGCCACCATCTCGGGGGCCACAGCAGCAGCCACAGATACGGTGCGTCGCATATGGATCGCCGTGCCCGCGTGGAAGACGTGGACGACGAGGACGACGACGCCAACTACCGTGCCCGCAGTAGCAGAGCTCGTGCTGGGACTGCATCGTCGTCATCAGGCTCTGCCGCAGCTACGGGCATGCCTCTTGGTGGCCCAGTCCTCGATCCATCTCTCCAAACGACCACAGCGTCGGCAGCGGCGGGCTTCCCCGAGAACGCCCCTGCTGGTGTTGGAGGTGCCCCTGGCTTCAACGGCATGAACCCGGCGGCTGGAGCGAATCACGTCTTCACCCATCTCAACAACGGTCTCCCTCAGCAGCCTTACAATATTCAAGCTTTCCCAACCTTACTCCCGTCAACGAACATGGCAGTCTCAGGCTACCCCTTTGGAGTTGGCACCACGCACGCTGTGAACGGTGTCGACCCGACGGCCGTCACTGGACTCAGCTTCCTGCCCGCCGTCCCTGATGCTACCAATGGTCCCATGATCCATACATATGTCCCTCGTCATGATGCGCCTGGCCAGAACATTGTCTACATACAGCAGCCAAACGGCCAGCAGCAGGCTATGTACACCACTGTCAGTGCCTCATCACCTCTCCTGCCTTCTTCGTCGATTTCGTACTCGCCGGCAGTTCCCCCTTGTTCTACATCCTGCCTCCAATACTATCCCCAGTTACAATATTATTTTGCAAGTGCTTCATTTTCTTTCATCTGGCACTCGTTTAATTCTGGGCTTGGGTCTCCTTTCTATTGTCTCTTTTTCGTTACATAATTTTGCGTTCATTTTTGTTTCCTTTTTTTAAATGAAAAATCTTTATCCACATCCTCGCTGACCATTCTTTCTACGTCTAGGCAAATGGTGTTCCCATTCAGATAGCTACAACGACCGCCCCCATAATGGCCTATCCGCAAACCGGCATGGGCCAACCCATGTACGTCCAGCAGCAGCCCGGCATGGCCTACGCTGTTGGTGCTGGCGGCATCGGTGGCATCGGTAGCAGCGGTACGCCCGTGGTCGTGATGCCCGGCGGCGTCCCAGGAGGTAATTACATTGTTGGTGGTGGTGGAGGCGGCCTTGGCGGCGGTGGTGGGTTCGGTGGTGTCGGGGGCATCCACCCCGAGCCCGCCATGGGCATCGGCCAGACCCCCAATGAAGTGCTCCAGGAACAACTTGAGTTTGCCTATGCCAACAATCTCTACGAACCTCAGGATTTTAAACCCGCCGACGACGACAAGTCGCGGTTCTACTGGCTGCGCGAGCTGGATGGCAACTGGACCCAGCGTAGCCGCGCTACCATTGACCATCTCGGCTGCCGCTGGTATATTACCGATGGCGGCGTCTTCTACGCCGTCCGGCTTCCCGATTAAAGGGACGATGGGGGAAATACCTCAGCAGTGTTTCTGTCGTCCAAGATTTTTTTAGAGTTTTTTTTTTCCAACTTTTTTCTGTGCAGATCGACATATAGGTCGACTGGGTTTGATTTTCTAATTTTACTTCCTCTTCTTTTATTTCTCATCGTATATGGGACAAGGCATGGGCAGTACGGCACGCGACAGAAACGGAAGCTATAACGACGACATGGACCACAAGATACTCTGAATGGGCGAGGCGATGCGGAGTTGTTGTTGCTATATGGATGCTATGGTATAGGCAAAGGATCATACGCAAGTGGTCAAGGACGGAGGAAGTAGTGGGAAAAAGAGGGGATAACGGGAACCTATTTGTTTACTTTCTTTTATTATTTTGGTCAAATACTGCTTACATATCTTCCGCTGATTTCTTTTGCATCGCTACTGTGTCAATCCCAGCAAGTAAACTATTATTTCGTACAAAACTCCATTTTGATGCCGAATCACATATGCGGGCCCAATTATATGTCACGCTGTGCACGCAGGATGTGACGCCAATAGACTTCCAACAGAATCACGAGAGACAATAGAGACAATGGAGGCAATAAAACCTCATTCATAATGATCGGCTGCATCTTTGAGCATCGAGTCAACAACTTCGTTTGCCTAGACTCGAGATGGGCAACATTGTCTTCTCAAAATCCAGAAGTAGGAAACAACGCGACGAAATATATGAAAATAACTGTGTTTTATTTTATTTTTTATTTTTTTCGAACAAAATGTGAGAGGAAAAAGAAAAAAAAAAACTTCTCAAGTCGCGGCTCCGAAACATACATACGCATTCATGATCTTAGGTTGCATAAGTAGAGAATTGTTTGCGTTCGCCACTGTCACCATTCACTAACAACATCTTTGTGTCGTGGTGCATCGCAGCAGAAAAATGGGCATCACCAAATCACCGGCACGACACAGCATCGTCCCTAACGATCTTGCTGCCCCATCTTGTGCAACCACCACGTCACTGCTCTTGCCTTTAAATTACCGTATCGGTCAAAGTAGCTTTGTATACAATAGAGCAAGAGCTCTCTGGAAGCAGGAACAATAGCAAAAGAGCCAACGAGAGGCATCGACAGGGCTCCTTCCCTCTGCGGTCAAGGACGTGCCTCGTTCCTTCCTCAACTTCTTCGAGGAGGCCTAAAATCCTGCCTGCCAGGAGAACCCTTCCAAATTATAAAATCCCCTCTGCTCCTCCTTCTCTTTCTTTACTTCTTTTCTTTTAATTCAGCCTCGCAACACAACCCAACTTTTAAATGTTCTGTGTTTCGCCTTCTTCGAAAGCTTGACAAAGCATCAAACCCCGAAAGATACACAGATACAGATATCTTTGTTTAGTCCTGATCTCTCAATCAGGATTATCCAACTCCAAAACTTCGACAGGCTCATCGGGCAGTCACTGGTTGGTTCCTTTTTTCTTTGATATCCTTGGCCGTCGCTCTGGATCCCCTCCCCCCTTCCAAGTCCCTACAAAGGCTTCAGAAAAAGAGACTTGCGAAACGACAAGCCGACGGAGAAGCAAGAGAAAGAAACAGAGCAAGAAAGAAAGAAAGAAACCAAGACAAAACAGCCAGCAAGGCGAAAGAAAAACAAGAGCAGCGCGAGAGGCAAAATCGTCATTTCGCATATTGGCCGTCATTCCTTCCTTCCCTTCACATCTTCCCATCGAGCGTTCTTGCATTCTTTGCCTTCCCAGATCCTTAAATCACCATGTTTCCTTGCCATTACTTGGCGGTGCCGAGGCTGCTTCCGGACTGCAAGACTCCAAGTCGCCTGCTATTCCTTCCTTTGCCGCCCCTGCCACTTCACGGAACCGACTTCTTCGTCGTGACCTCCCGTGTCCCCTTTGCCCTTTCCTCTCGATGGCTGACTTTGGCGCCTGCGTTGTCTTTTTGCAGTTCATTTCCAGATTTTGTTATTTATTTGCACATTTTATCCCATTATTGTAGCGCAACTTGGCTCTGTGGGACAGGAACTGGCCACAATGGCAGACCGTCACCATCAGAACGGGAAATGGGTTGGCGAGCGCCCTCATCCTTTTGCAGAGTGGGCCGCGGGCCGAAACCTGAAGACGAATCATCATCAGAAGAAGAAGAAGCAGTCAGTCACTGCTGAGACTTCGGCTGCCGAGCTTGCTTTTGCCATTCTACGCCAGAGTGGTCCCGGACCAGTCCAGCCTGCCCAGATGCCAGCTAAGACTAGCACTCAGAAGGGACAGAACACAGTTGCAGACCAAAAGGTAAGTTGCCATGGTTTCTTGAAATACGTACACATCGACCACCTTAGCTAAGAATCCGGGGACTTATACTGACAACATGTTTGCCATTAGCCCAATGTGCAGAGTAGCCAGGCTGCAACCGTCGAAAGCTCTCATGGTCAGGCCATTCCAGCCAAGCCCACCCCGGCGCAAAAAGAGAATGCGGAACAGAACATGCGCCATGGAGTTCAGTCAAACGGTTGTAAGTCGATCATTGATTCCACCCGAAAATAAAATTGACTGAAATTCTAACCGAGCATTTTAAGCTTTCCAAGTCGAGATCTCCGTACGCTCGCATCCATCTCGTGAAAACACGGGCTCGGTCCCTGGGAATGAGTCGAAACGAACATCCGATTCAGACTCCAACGACTACGAGTCCACCGACGAGTACAAACGTCACGACCGTCAGAAAGAGCGGAACGACGGCAACGTAAGTCGACAGAGACCTGAAGTTAGCCATTTATTCTAGATTTTGACCTCTAATTCCATTTAGAAGCACTCCTGCCGGCACAAGTGCCATTGTGATCGTCTGCCCGACCACCCGAAACCGAATCAGATGCAGGCTGTTCCAAGTAATGGCACCGCGACTATTGTCGGCTACCAGCAAATAAATCCGCAGTACGTTCAGACTATGCCAATGGCCTCGTTTCAGCCGCACGCAGCCCAGCATGATAGATTGTACTTCGATTATCATCCTCTCGGAGCGTATCGTGTCCCTTTCTATTACCCAGTCGGGAACATGGGCGTATTCCCATCGACCCAGCATGGAGGTGCCCGTTCAGATATCCGCTCGTCGTCTTATACCAATGGTTGGGATAGTCACTCCCGCCCCATACAGTCGCCTGAGCCTTCGGTGAGACCCCGTGAACCGTTCCCTAGAAGTGCGCAGGTCCCATTCAACGATGGTCCTCCCCGACGCTGCCGTTGCCCATCCCCATCTGATACTGTCCCGCTGAGATCGGCAATGAGAGGCGGCCGGGACTCCATGGTGAGCCAAGCGGCGCAGCGCAACATCGACCTTTCGCCGGATATGCCTGCTATCTCGACAATGGAAGCCACCACTATTGACGGTCGCAGCATGACCGATCCTACTTATCTACCATTCCCTCCTAGATTTCATTTCCCTGACAGCTTCTGGAAGTCTGAAACCAAAGACACTCAGAACATCTCCCACCGCCATTTGCCTTTTGAGCCTGGGTTTACCTCGACCCCGGAATTTTGGAGAGCGGAACAGAGTGATCTGAACGAAGCAAGTGGGAGAGACATGAATTTCCGCCCTGCTACGGCCGACCACCGCAGTCCCAAGAAAGGTAAAGTATCATGACCACGATTTTGTGATTACTTTTCTGTTTTCTTCTACTTAGGGTATGAGCTAATGGTTCCTGCAGTGAGAAAGCCCGAATTCTGCATTCCAGGTGCGTGGATTGAGGGCTCGGAGACATCGTCTATGCAGTCCGACTGTACCAACCAACACGCCAGCCACGATTGTCCCAATACCTGGGCCGATATGTCCGTGACTTACAGCTATGCTCCGCTTCCGGATGTTCCTGACCCCCTCATGGGTCGACGGGCATCTTCGCATATTTCCTGGTAGAACCCAGGAGTCTTTTGGCGACAGGGACTCGACATCAGCAGGTGACATTTAGAAGCTGTTTTCGATTTCGTCTTTCATGTTTGTCTTTTTGCTGAAGTTTCCTTATTTTCCTCTGACTCAATTTGTCTTTTTGACTTTTTGTCTTGTATTTTTTATATTGTTTCTTGATTTTTCTATATTGCTCTTTTCTTTTCTACATTACTGTATCTGTCACCAACTATTGTTCTTCAATCCACTTTCCTACAGCTAGTTGTTTTATTTCTTGTCGTTACAAGACCCTTCTTGATGGATTGAAGACATGAGAGAGAGTTTTGGCGGAGGACGCTAGTGAGGCATGCCGGCAACGCACGCCGGCGAAGGAAGCATGGAACGGAAGAAAAATCCGGCAAGGAAAAGCCGCTCACAACGATTGGGTTACTTTTGGGGTGGAGAGAGATGTGCCATCACGACACGATGATGTACACACTTGTCGGACCGCCGTGTCTGATCTTTTAGTCACTATCCTGTCAATCCCTTCTCTTTACTAATGTGGGAGCACAAGACAATCATTTTGTCTTGCGAACAGGTCGCTTTATGTCCGGTGGATGTTATTGTTAATTCTCATAATTATATTTTTAAGTCCAAGCTATTTTATCACCTCAAGGCATATATTGGCAGTGCTCGAAACGTGAAACATTGAAACAGATTACTACCAAACAGAATCATACCCGGTGACCTCGACTAAGTGTGTAAGAAGAAGAAGCGAATGCGAAAAAGCTTAGTTCCTGATTGTCATGGTTCTTACAAAGAATATGAAATTTAAACTTTCTTTTGTCCATTTTGTTTGCTTTTCCATATTGCGGGAAGCACAGCACAATATAATAATCCGGGCGACATATCTACAAATCAAAGTACAAATCATGTACGCGGAGGAGATTTTTTTTTTTTTGATAGGAACACAAAAGTAGACAAGTTGTCACACAAGCAATAGCACAAGACCCACTGCCGCGAACCCGAGGGGAAAGCCTCGTGCGCCAGAAGGATGTATAAAGCAGAGGCGATGAAACCACAGTACATTTCCATTGTCCATTTTCGTTTTGTAAATAATCCATGCCGCCATCATGTGTCCATACTGTCATGTATGCAGTTATTTTTCTTTCTTTCTTCTTTTATTTCATGACAATTGTTATTTTCCATAAGCATCGTTCAATTTTGGGGGAGATTGTTTGCTTCCAGAGCTACCCAGTCTTCGAATGTCACAGAGGTACGCCGAGAGGGGATGAATGTGAGGGGAGGACAATTTTACTCGTCATCCTCCTCGTCCTCGTCCTCTTCGTCGGAGTCCTCCTCCTCGGCCTCGGCCAGCCAAGTCAGGAAAGGCTCGGCAGCCTTGCGGACCTTCTTGGATACGGACAGGTCCGTGTACTTGCGGCTGGCCTTGGTGCCCCACTTGTTGACGACCTCCTCAGAGATGAGGTCGGCGTTGTAGTAGAGGTGCAGGATCTTGACCACCTTGTCCACCATGTCCGGGTGGTCCTTGATCAGGAGACCAATGAGGCGCTCGGTACCGCCCAGCAGGGCCTTTTCGTGGCGCTCAGAGGTGACGATCTGGATTATTGTCAGTTACGAAGTTTATGAGGCAAGGAGCAAAAGATACCAGTGGAATGTGGAATTTACCTTCTTCAGCATGCCGGCACGCTTGGGAATCTGGGCCAGGATGTTCTCGTTGAAGAGAGTCTGGACCAGGACCAGAACAGTGCGGTGCTTGGACTCGATGCCCAGGTCGCGGGCCTTGAGGTAGATGTCGACGTCATCGACCTTGTCGATGCTGCCCTTCTCCTCGGCCTGCTCATGGATCCACTCGCCGAGCTGGTCGTAGATGGTGTTGCCACCGCCCTCGCCGTCCTCGTCGTCGTCGTCGCCGCCGTTAAGCATCATTTTCTGCTTGAAGTCGTCGGGCAGGGCCTTGGCACGGGCCTTGATGGCCTCCTCAGTCATGTCGACGTTCCACTCGACATTCTTGGGTTCCACGGATTCGGTGACGTTGCCAACCGCAGGCGAGGCAGTCGCCTCGTCGTCGGTGCCGGCCGGGACGCCGTTGTTGTCCTTGTCGCCGCTGTCCTTGCCGGAGCCCGAGTTGTCTTCGCCACTGCCGGCGGCGTCGCCGTTCTCCTTGCCCGCCGTGCCGTTCTGCTTGGCCTTGCGGGCGGCCTTGCGCTCGGCCTTGTCCTTCTTGCCCTTCTTGGGAGCATTCTTGATAATGTAGCCACTCAGCTTGAGACGCAGGTCGACATCGGAGCGCTGGCCGCAGGCCTTGCAATCGAGCGTGATGTGGCCGTCCTTGATCTGGACCACGGTCTCGGGGTTCTGGCACTTCTTGCAGAGCACAAACTTGGTGATGAAGCCGTCGAGGTAGTCCTGGAGCTTGGCGGCCTCGTGGGCGCCGTTGATGATCCAGCGGTCGTCAGGCGGGTCAATGTTGGTCTGGGCGCCAAGCTCAAAGCCAAAGTACTTGATAAGGTAGGCGCCCGGGCGGGCGAGCTGCTGGGCGACCTGGCTCAGGTTCGGCACGACGGTCTTGATACCGTTGCCCTTGCCCTCGATCTTGGTCTGGATACGCTCCATCTTGTAGCGATAGAAGACGTCCGTGACATCACGGCGAACGTTGATGAGACTCATGATGGCGGTTTGTTGCGTGTTGTTATGCAAAGAATGCGGAAAAAGAGTGCGAGTGGATGGAAGGACGGACGGGCGTCGCAAAGAATGACGATGGCGTGGTTGGGCTTGTCGTTTTAAGGAGAAGCGTGGGCTGCTGAATGCATAGGGGCACGAAAAAGAATGAATGAAGCCGGAGGACAGGGTCGTCAGAACCGTACCGAGCGTTGCATGAACATAAGGGAAAACTGAAGGTCGTTTCTAAGAGACGGAGGCATGAACGCGAAAAATATGCGTGCTAGTCGAGAAGACGAGATTCAACCGTGGGGGCCTTGACTGGTGCTACAAGGTTTTCGCGGTATGCGAAAGGACTGCAGCCAAATAGGAGGTGAGTGAGGAGACTCGGAGATCTTGTCGTGCTGATACATAAACAAGACTTGTGTCCTGTATCTGGGTTATGTGTGTTCGGGAAAGGGATGAGAAGGTCGGTTGTGGGAAGAGAAAAAAGGGCCGTCGGAACGCTCAAATCTTTGTCGTTTTCTTTGTCGAGAGGGACAACCAAAAGCGCCAAAGTCAAGAGAATTAGAGGTCGTCGACGGGTAATCGAAGACGAGATGCTACCAAGACGTTGCAATCGGAGTCGAGAGAATCGAGCAGCGTACAAAAGGAGCCGAGCAGAGCGCGTCGTTGGAGTAGGAAAGGAGGCGAAAAGGCTGACAAAAAGACAGATCGCGATGTTTTCGAGTGTGGAGATAGAAAAGAGCCGCGCACGTCACAGGCGGGGGTGTAAGATGCAGAAAGTTTGTCGTGCAGCGAGAGCCGGATTGCACGGAAAGCTGAATACGGGGTGGTTGTGTATGCGAGTCGTTGCTGTTGAGCAAAAAAAAGAGTCAGAGGTTGAGAGGGCGGGTTTATGAGAGAGGAAGAGATTTTGCGGAGTGGGAATAAAGGAGACGATGGCGATGGCACTTGTATTTCAACCGTACTGCTGGAGTTTGGTATGGTTCGGTTGTCAGATTTGGCAGGCACTTGAGAAAAAAAAAAGATTTAGCCCCTCGCCTAACTGCCTGAGTGGCTCTTTCCTCTTGCCTCTTTCGCCGCTACGGGGTTTTAATTGCAGAGAGGGGCAAAATCTGGATTTAGTCGGCCTTAAGAGTCACGTGCAGCGGCTCCTGGCGGCTGGCTCCTGGCATATTGTACCAACCAAACAGCAATAGAGTCGCCGTCACGTTGAGTCCAGTGCATCTCTCACAGCGAGTCGCCCAGTGAGTTTGTTACGGACCCAAAGGAATGTTGGGCGCGCCTTCCCTTTCACGGCATTGGGCTGCGATTAACTAGATTCAGCGACACGATGACGCGGGGCAGGAGCGACCCATTCACATGAGCGCCCGGGAGAGCACATTCATTGTCTTTAGGCTGTTGCTAATTGATGGAAATCCACGGAGTTGTCTTTTTGCTGTAGATAATACTCTGTATTAGGATACCTCTGCAAGCGGTACAAACTGCAACAAGCACCTTTGCGCGAGTGGCCGAGACGAAATCAGCTGGTCCGACATCTCCATGGCTTCGGGCGTCATGGATATCTCGGGCGCTGTGGCAAAGCGCGAGTAGATGTCGCGCATAAGAATCTTCATTTCGACGAGAGCGAGGCTATGCGGTAGGTTAGTATGCCCGTCCACTATTGTCCGAGTAAAATGGAGTGCCGTCGCCAACTTACTGCTTGCCAATGCAGCCGCGACCGCCGCTGGCAAAGGCAAAGAAGGACCGCTTTCGATCTGCGTCACCGTCAGAGGCCAACCAGCGGTCGGGGTTGAATGAATCTGGGTCCGGGAAAACGGCGGCATCCATGCGGTGGACCGAGTAGGCTTGGCTGCTGACGACGGTGCCGGCAGGCAAAAAGAACCCATCAATGACGCGCCCGTCAGCTTGCTGCTCTCCGCGCGCAGCCGACCGGCCCCAAGTCTGTCCTGGGACGACGCGCGGTAGTGACATGGGAATGGCCGGGAAGCACCGCAGGCCCTCCATGATAACGGCGTCTAAGAATGGTAGCCGGTCAAAGGGAAGCGCGTCGGCACCCTTGGCTTCGTTTTCGACAAGCTCCCGGCGCAGCCGCTCTTGAAAGTGGAGAGACCGCGGTGTCGACAGCTCCCACATTAAAAAGCAAAGAGCATCGCCAGTCGTGTCGATCCCGGCCGCCATATGGTCGAGACTCTCGGCCGCTGTGTCGAGGGCGTCGAAGCTGCCAGCGGCAGGCCTGGCTTCCTCGTCTGTGGAGCCTTGCGCATTGAGCTGCTGCTTCTCGTGCATCCGAGCAAGCAGCGTAAAGTGGGCTGCGTCAGACTTGGCGGCAGTCTCGAGGACAAAATCGTCAGCCAGCGGCGTCTCACGGGGCTTAGCAAACCAAGTGAGGACGGGGTTGATGATGGCGTAAAAGGACGGACTGTAGAAGCTGACCAGTCGGTCTGGGTGCGGCGCACATTCGTTAGTCACACTCGGGTTACGTCTTTGATGGCGGAACGTTCATATCATACTCTGAATGCTGTCGTCAAACGTCACTTCCCGCATGATCTCAGCGTCAGATTCCTTGCGAAGTGAGTCGGAACCGTAGGGGTGGAAGAGATGGTGCGTAACACAGTCAAATGCATAAGCGTGAAGGGCTGCTTTGTTAGCGGAATTGCACGACCTGGAGGTACCGTTTTGACTGTCGTCTCAAAACTGACCGAGCTTCAGGGAAAGTCAGCAGTGTCTTCAGTATTTCAGTTTTCCGTGACCAGATATTGCAGCCACGTACGTAAATATCCAGAACACCCCCGGCAGCATTCTTGCACAGCTCTGTAAAATGCTGTGCCCGCTCCTCAATGCCAGCCAGTGCTGGGCCACGCATAATGTTGCTGTTTGCGTATCGGTCAGCCAGGATCCGGCGACGACGAGCGTGTGTCTCTTTGTCCAGTGTGGTGAACATGGTGCGCCGCCCGTACACCGTGAAAAGGTCGTAGAAGTCGGTCTTATCGTAGCCGCTGCCGGCCGAGTTGTAGATCTCCTTGACAGCCGCTGCTGAGGCAAACGAGACTTCATCCGGAGCCAGACGCACCACAGGACCATAACGCTGGTGGAGCGCGTGCACATAACGGGTGCGGCCACATCGAAGCTCGTGCCATCGTAAAATAGCAGATGTGAAGAGGGAGAGAGGCGGTCCTGGCACGCGCCGCAGTGGTGAGCGGACCGCTCGGATAACGGTGTAGCAAAGAGGGAGCACGACGAAGAGTAAAGCGGCACATTGGAGCATGGACATCGAGGTGGCTGCCTCAAGTAGTGACTGCGGAAGGACCGCCATGGTGAAGGGATGCTGTGGCTCTGTCAGTTTCTGGAGGCCGAGGTTGAACTCTTAGGTAAGGCAACAATGGCACAAATTATAGAGACGACAGTGAGGAAGAAATGACAAGAGCACACAAATTGAAATAAGCAAAATGAGTCGGCAATAATCTGTACTGGAAGCATACGCTAACACGGACGCTGCTGATGGTTGAACGCTGTCACCTCTGACTTGCAGACGCCGTCTGCTGTCCGAAGTGTGCCTCGTCAAGCGTCTTGTTACATACCAGACGGAGGGGCTTTCTGTGCGGAGAACACTAACTGCGAATAGCAGGTGCTTGCAACTCGAGCTGTTGGGATAGGAGATGACAGAGATGTCCGGTACAGTCCGAATGACAACATACCTCGCACGCGTAATTTGACTTCATGCCAACTTCGATCAGGCCAAGACAGGTTATTTGGACCTTATGAGTCTCTATGGTTTTGTGGTCCTCGTCGCCATCACCATCGTCAGTATGCGGCCATTTTGCAGCACAGCCCAACTTACACAATTCAGCCAGACGGACCGGCACCAGCTGGCAGCCCCACACCTGACACCACGAGTGCGCCATGCTTCCAACTGTCCTGATTCCATACCTTCTGATTAGCCGCTAGCCTGGCGCTGCTCCAGCAAGGCAGCATGAAACACCGCCTGAGGAAGGCGCCCTGAAAGCCTCCTTCCTGCCCTAGTATTTCTCACGACGACCACAGGGAGCATCCTTCTCCATTGGCACACTTGCACCTTGCACCTTCCCTGGTTCCTCAGCCACACAGACGGGAAAGAGGCCATCGTATGCAGTTGCCATTTCCTCCTCCTTGTTGTCTTCCTCATCAATATCGTCAAATTTGACTCCTATTTTCTGAATCATTTGGCTCCCTTCCACCGTCGTTTGCCGCCTCGCACTGCATGCCGCGATGAGCCTGCCTTAGGCCCCTCCTGTGCTTTCCCCTTCGCTTCGGCCAATGCCGAGTTCCTTCGCTCCATTTTGTTGCTCGGCCGTCCTTCCTCCTTGTGACAGCGATTCGTCTTCGAACCCTGTCTTGCTCTTTGACGATCTGTCTGCCACGCCGGCGGCGTTACTCACGACCTGTACCCCCAGTCCACCGGTAAACAACACGTCGACGACAACACGAGTCACATCCAACAATCTCCACAGCTGCTTAGCACCCTCTCGGCCCACGACCCACCGCCCAAGCTCTCGAACCGCCTCCGCTCTCTCGGTCCCTTTCCCTGTTTCCTTTTCGACATCGCCGTTTCTCAGGAACATAAGACTTTGCCTTTGCCTCCACCGCTGCTTTTGCTTCACATCAAACGCGCATCGTCACGATAGCCCGGAGACTGCCAAAGCATGGCGTCCCACAGTCAGGCCATGCCGGCGTCCCGGCCAGGCCAGCACCGTTCGCAGCCGCCACCGCCACAATATCACAGCCAGCCGCAGCAGCAGGTGCCAGCTGCCCCCCACGGTACGGCACCACAAGGCACCTTTGCGCCGGGCACCAAGATCCAGGTTGGCAGCCATCGCGTGGTTATCCAAAAGTACCTTTCCGAGGGCGGTTTCGCCCACGTCTACCTCGTCAAGTTGCAGTCACCGATTGACGGCACCGATCTCGCCGTACTCAAGCGCGTTGCCGTGCCCGACAAGGATGCCCTGCGCAGCATGCGCACCGAGGTCGAGACTATGAAGCGCCTCAAGGGCCACCGCGCCATTGTCACCTACTTTGACTCGCACGCCTCCGAGCTTCGTGGCGGCGGCTACGAGGTGTTCTTGCTCATGGAGTACTGCGACGGCGGCGGCCTCATGGACTTTATGAACACGCGCCTGCAGCACCGCCTCACGGAGCCCGAGATCCTGTCCATATTTAGCGACGTCGCCGAGGGCGTTGCCTGCATGCACTACCTCAAGCCGCCGCTTCTGCACCGCGACCTCAAGGTCGAAAATGTTTTGATCAGCAAGGGTGGCAGCGGCAAGAGTGGCGGCAGCAGTGCGCGCCGTCGCTTCAAGCTGTGCGATTTTGGTTCCGCCGCACCGCCCAAGGCTGCACCTGTGTCCGTGGTCGAGTGCCGCCTCATGGATGAGGACGTGCAGAGGCACACGACTCTGCAGTACCGCAGTCCCGAGATGATCGATGTCTACCGGCGACAACCCATTGACGAGAAGTCTGACATTTGGGCGCTAGGTGTGCTTCTATACAAACTCTGCTATTATACGACACCATTCGAGGACCAATCCTCGCAGCTGGCCATTCTCAACGCCAGCTATCGGTTTCCAAGTCACCCAACCTTTTCTGACCGCTTAAAAGCGTTGATTGGTATGGTAGTTCTGCGGCCATTGGTCGCTTAACCACAGTAGCGAACCGTAACTAACCTTGTACTTGTTAGGTTCCATGTTACGAGAGGACCAAGGCGTTCGTCCAAACATCTACCAAGTCCTCAAGGAGTCTTGCGCCATGCAAGGCAAGGACACTCCTGTCAAAGATGTAGGTGATCTCCATGGTACGGCCATGTTTCCCTCCTCGAACCCCACAGTAGTATCCTAACAGAGTACAGATCTATTCCGGCCGATCACAATCCGAGCCGCGAGGGGGCGACAGAGCCTCGGCCGCCGATAAGAACTCTGTGTCTGCGCCTGTTGTTGGTGCCGTCTTCGCGCCCACATCCAAACCACAGCAGGCCATCCCCGACATCGTCCCGATGCGACGGGGTCGTCCGACAGCAGCACCCGCTGGCCAGCCAGCAACGTCGTCTGCCCAGAAACCGAGCGCCTCTCCAATGCGTGTCACCAAGGGCGATCCCTTTGCTGCCCTTGACTCCAAATCGACAAGCCAGTCTGCCGATGAGCTGTCCAACAGGTTTCCCACGTTGGACCAGTTCTCCATCTTGCACGACCAGGGCACGCGGTTCAGTTTCGACGATCAACAGGCCGCGGCCGGTGGGTCATCCGTTGCAGCGTCTACCGAAGCAGACAAAACCAAGGATTTGAAGCAGAGGGTCACTGAGCGTCTGGCAGGCGATGCGTTTGTTTCCGCTCCGCAACCCACGGCCAACACAAAGTCGACACCGCAAGCTGCAGCTGCAGCTGCCACGGCGGCCGTAGCGGCTGGCAAGGTTTCGCCATCCATGGCTGGTATCACGAAAACTGTATCGGACCCGGTTCGGCCAACAAACCGACTGCCTGGTCATATCGACGCGTCCTCCGAGAGCTCCGCTAAACCAACAGCGCAAGTACCGCAACGAGCGTCAGAGATGAGCCGTGCATCGGCGATCATCTCTAGCACGCCTGAACTCCAGGCCATTTCTGCGCAGCGCGAGCAGAAGCCCAAAATGGTGTCTACAGGAACCATGACGTCTCCCTCTCCGACACCGCCGCCGCCAGACTTGCCCAACCGGATGCCACAGTATCAGGTCTTCCGCTTCCCACCAACAGACCACCAGAACCCCAACCGCGCGTCCAGCCTTCCTCGAAAGCCATACCAAGACTTGAGCGGTGGTGGCCCCGGTGAACACAGCCAGACGCCGCCGCCGCACCTGCGGACACAAGCACAGGCAATGCACATCCGACATCCATCCTCGTCGCGTCCGTCGCTGGAAGGCCAACGCCCTAACACCGACTCGTTGGAGCCGGTCACAACCTCTGTGCCCTCGTTGCCGAGTCGCCCTCGACCAACGAGCACGTACCTCGAGTCGAACATGGACTACTTGCGTGAGCGCGAAGTGAGTGGAGGCAACGCCGGCCACAGCGATTTCAGAGCTCCTTCGGTCTCGCCTCGGCCTGGCCTCGATCACAACAAGAACAACGGCGGCAGCAGCAACTGGGACGAGACACCCATTGAGTCAAATGTGGATTATCTTCGGTCGATGGAAGAGCAGCCTGATAATAAGCGCGACCGTGGCCTGGCCAAGATGAGCGGCGGCAAGCGGTCGAGCATGACGGCACTTGCAGGCACAAAAAATCTTTTTGCTGGCAAGTTCGGCGACGCTTTTAAACGGTTCGAAACAAGCACGGGTGGCAGTAGTGGCAGCGGCAGCAGGGACAACAGGGACAACAACTCGGCGGTTCTTGGTCCTAGTCGCACTCCGTCGCCCCTGAAACAGCTTGAGCGCAACGACAGCAGCTACGGCGGCACCGGTAGTGGCGAAAGATACCGTGGCGACCCCTATGACAACAACGAGCTGCCGCTCGAGGTGACGGACGACATGCCGCCCGAGGTACGTCGTGAAATTGAGCGTCGTCGTCTGTCGATGGAGGAGAAGCGCGTGGCTGCTGCGGCTGCCGAATACCGCCAGCGCCTGGCCAGGGTGGACACGGGCTCCACCTCGCTCTCACGGACGACAACCAGCTCCAGCGGCGCGCCTGCACCCATGCCGCTCCCCAAGAGCATGCCCAAGAGCATTGGCGGTGTGTCGCGTGCTGTGTCGATACAGAACCGCGTGCAGAACCTGTTGAGCGAGGCGCGGTCATCGGCGCCGGCAACCCGTACTGCTTCGGGTTACGGCCACTTTACGGACGACGGCAGCAATGCCAGTGGTGGCGGTGCTGGTGTTGGCCGGTCGGATTCGGTTGCGCGCTCTGCACCCGTCGCCAACGCTCGCGGTAGTTTCGACGAGCGGCCCGAAGTGCATAGGAAGCCTGTCCTCGTGGGCCGGAATTCAATGACAATATCCGACGACCACCACGGTGGTCCTCCGCCACCTAAACCGTCGGCCAAGCCGAAGCCCATGCATCTCAACAAGCCTCTCCCACTGATCGGCAAGAACAGCAACAGCAACGCACAGCCGGGCTCGCCGAATGCGGCCTACCCTGCGTCGCAACCCGTCAACGCACGCAGTGCGGCTACTCTGCCAAGCAAGACCGGCGCTTCGGGATCGCAGTCAGCCTTGATGGCGCCGGATCTGCCTGGCCAGCCGGTGCTCGAAGGCATGTCGGTTCAGGACCGGGATGACTATATCCGCGACTTTACACGGCGGTTCCCGAGCCTGACGTCGATTGAGATGGTGGAGCGGGACCTGTCTGCCGAGGACGCGCATCGGCAGTGATTATGACACACACAGCGTATATACGTCTAAGCACGCCATCCGACAACTCGTGCACATATATACCAATGAGCTTTTATTTATACAAGTGCCTTTTTCAGCTTCTCTTTGTGAATTTCACGAGGCGCAACTTATGTTCTGCTTTTTGCGTGCCGGGACCTTTTGTTAGAGATCATGAGGAAGAGCCACGCTCTCTCCTATAATTATTAAAGCATACACGTTCGCTGTCGCTGAAAATGGAGTTCAAGAAACATCGTAGTGAAAGCAAGGATGTAAAACATACAATGCTGAAAATCAAAAACCCAAGGGTTACTTGACCGATGTTTGTCAATGTTTGCGGATCACTTTTGTCGGAGGTTTTGATGCACCCCAAAACACGTCACTGTTAGTGTAGTAGAAGAAGAGGGGTTACAGGGGCCCAAATATTACTGCCAGTCAGACAGTGGGCGGTGGTACGCTAGAGTCTGCGGTGGAAGAAATGGAAGAGCAAAACAACACAATATAATTCCTCACCACCGGTTGGTTCTTGTCGTGTCTACATGACCGCGACGTCCCCGCCAAGCGGAGGAGACAAGTGGAAATACGAACACGTTCCTGCCTCCTAATCACAGGTCCCCCATTCACGGGCGGTCTTGGCTATTAGAGCCTCTGAGAGGACCGAAAGACTCCACAAATACCACGAGAAGGGGTTATGGTTTAGTGGCTAGAATACTTCGTTGTGGCCGAAGAGACCCGTGTTCGATTCACGGTAATCCCACAGATTTGGTTTTTTGCTCATCGCAACTACGGACATTTATGACGCTTGGATTGATTTTGTTTTCTTTTACATTACACCAACAGTATCTGCTCGCATATCTGTGTTGCATTTTTCGAGGTCAATTGAGTTGCTTCGCAGACGTTGGCGTGGCAGTTTCTCGATTTGCCAGTATATTATGTGTGCCTCATTTTAGAGGGTTCATCGTTTTGTGAACTTTGCTTTTATTGCATCTTGTTTTTATTATATCAAATGCTCCTTTTTATAATATCTTTTCCGGAAGCTGTTTGCTTGTTGTATTTCTGATTTTCGATTTTATCAGCTTCAAAACTACTATCTTTTCCCCCTAATTTTCCACAATTTTTTTTTGATCGCCTCTTTCCATAAACATGTATCGCCAAACATTTTCTTCGTGTCTTCTGTCTACAGATGACGATAAATCTGCGAGAATCTTTTCGTCTTATTTCCACGCTTGCGTTATTAAAACATTTCGTCAAAAATTCCCCATATTGAATGCTCGTTCTTCTGCCAAGCAGTATCTGAACTATCTTCTATCCCGTCCATGCAGGATTGGATTAGTTTCGCTGGTAACATTAGGTCCCTGAATTGGAAAAGAGAAACATGTGCCCACATGCCCACACCATTGCAATCAAGCCCATGGATCGGGTACCCTGGCCGTTGGCTGTACCGGTGACGTACCGGCGCTAACAAAGCTGTAGGATAAGCTCCAAGCAATCATAAGAGGAGGAAACCAAAGCCAGACCGCTTGGTGACCTGTGCGTGGTTTATTTCATACGGGGGTGTGTCGTAGACTTCTTAATCATTTTCTTTTTATTTTCTTTTTCGTGGAAATACATCATCTTGCGTTTCTATGGAACATAAACTCTGCTTCGACACACCCAGTCCTTCGTTCATCTCTCTGTTATATTATGTTTATTCTGTAGATCATTGGTACTCTTGAAGACTGATCCACCAATCGTCAAGATCAGTCCAGGTTCTACCAAGAGTATATGAGATACGAAAAAGTTGCATACCAGACTACAGAGAGAGTTGGTCCCTAAGAAAACGATCGTACGCTACGGCGAAGAATCCGGCCTCACTCTCTCTCCATTTCCGATGCCGACGCAAACCCATCTTCTTTCATATTAAACCGCCGCGCTACCGGTCAGCGTGTAAATTTGGTCAATACCGTTCGCAATGCAAAGAGTAAGTCGTGCAGCATACTCCGTAAATCTCATTCCTGTCCGGTATGCTATGCATGTGGAATCAGCACGGTCGTCCAGCACGGCCGTGCTTATTAGCCTTGTTTTGTTTTCTTTGTTTTGTTGCTTTCCTTCTGGTGGAACGGAGAAATCACGACATACGACGTACGGAATAATAATACGTCGTAGAGAAGGAGGCGCGAGGAAGAACGGTATGTGAGGGAGGTGAGCTACGCGCCACGGTTTACATATATGCCGGACGAATCCAACTTGAAATTTTCCACTTGGCCCTCGCTTCGTTGTGCACAATGCAGTCGTCTCTGCGCCTTCACATTTCCAATGTTACGGAGTAAGACTGTATGCCGTCTGTCGTACTAGCACCTGCAACGCTAGCTCACCAAAATTTCCTGTTTTCCACCGCATGCGATATTTTCTCGTCCCTAATTAGCACTTTCACACCAAATCCGCTTTTTCTGCTGCGTTGCGGCTGGGCTACCTTAGTGATTTCCCTGCTTTTCTTTTTGTGCCTGCCGCTCATTAGATCGCTCGTCCTCGTTCATTATTGTTATTTTATTCTTGCCCGGTCTTGGGCCTTTTTAATTCTGGGTCCGCCACGTGTGAATCAAAGAAACATAGCCACCCCATGTTTCTTTATTGTCCCTTTTGTTATTAGTCTGGTTGACCATTGGCAAGTCCACTGATTTACACCACTTCCATTCTCCCACCAGTCGTTCTGAGACCTCAACGTCCGCTCTTCCTTGGACCTATTTGACTCTTCTCGTTCTTCTCTCGCTTTCCCTCGCAAATCCTGCCAAAACAACGAGCAAATGTATCCAGCCATTTATTGTGCAAGCCAAGCACCCAATACGCATAATATCCATATAATTTACAACTCCTACGTCAGTTCTTAGCTGCAGTCCATAGGCACACAGCCTTCCCAGCTCTCCCATCGCTGTGCAATTTCTAGCTGCTGAATCAAGTGACAACCACACGACATCTGCTTCTTGTAAAACACCAAACACCAATCATCCACAAGTGAAGCTTTCCGTATCATCGTGACCCTTTCCCACTCATTTGCACACGTCACACACCTAAAGCAACCCTAAGGCAATTAAGGCAAACAAGCTTCGGGAACTAGTGGGTCGTGCCCCGTCACTTGCGTGCGTGCGTGTGTATGTGCGCGTGTGCATCTGTGCTGCGATGCAGGCAATTGCATTGTGGATCGAGTATGTTGTCCCGTGTGGTACGCTATGAATTGCACCCTTCATTCTCCACTCCGTCGGTGACGACTCTCCTTCCTTGAGGTCCCCTCGCTTGAACGTTGCTCTGCTGATGGGGAGGCCTCCTTTTGTGGGCGCTGTACTACAACATACATTGTAAGAATCCCAAGTCTCCCTCTCCCTCGCCTTCCTCCTCTCTACTTTCCTTCACCCGATCTAGACGGAAGCGAAAATGAGAAATATAATAACCTGGAAAACATTGGCGACACGGCTTTTCTCTCCGGCCTGCCATTTCCGATCCTGAAACAGCATGGATGGCGACAGAACTAATCGCCGACACCATACACCGTCGTCTTTCTATCCAACATATCGACCGCAGCGCATGGTGACGTCTCGAAACCGTTAGCAAACAGTTACCTAAGGACACGCCTGGGTCCTCCAATTTAGGCATATGCGACAATGCATTTCCTCTTTGGGCCCTTGCCGTTGATCCTTTCATTTTTCCTTTTTCTTTTATTGTTCCCCTGGACATGCGTGCCAGTTCTTTGATATCATTTTTGCGCTGGAGCCGCCGCATTCTCGACCAATAGGATGCTCGCCTTTTCGAATCCTTCACCAGCCATTCTCGTTTTTCTTTGCGACTCTGTGACTTTGCGGCTACGAGGCACAGCCCCCTGTTCATGGGTCATGGCCGGCTGGACAAACGATCCGAAGGCAAAGGGCCTTTTTCCCAACTAGCGGCTCATCTACCGTGCAAACAGGAACGACAATGGGACGCACAATACGACGTAGTGCAATGGGAGGAGGGGGGCGGTCTCTTCTTTAAGCACGTGTTTGGCGCACTCCCGTCCCAAATTCCTGTTTTGTTTCTGCTCTCGTTTTTTGATTTTACCATTTATTTATTTATCATTTTATCACTTTACCATTTTATCATTTTATTTTATTTTATAGTCTTGCCCCTTTGCTCGACCCTCTTCTTTCAACACCCAGTCGGTCCCCGTCGCTTGACCCCATCTGGATGGACTCCGGTTTATCTTCTGGTCGGCGCAGAGGTGCAGAGTGACAAGAGACCCATAGAACATCGCCATATGACCTTTTTCATGTTTGTCTTTGTTGGTTTGCCCTTCCTTCAGGCTGATTATCCGATTTATTCTTTATACAGAATATAATTTCCTAATTGAATGATTCGACCGTTGCCCCAGGGCGGTCTATCTTGTCGTTTCTCACCAGTTGGAACGACGACATGTAAATGCCTCATCGTAACACACGGTGACTATACTTTGCTCTCTCACGGCAAAGCGGTTCCAGTTGCTTGCAAGGACCTCAAAATGACAAGAATGGACAGAGGACGCGTACCAGCCATTTGGCCTCAAAGGAGCAAGCAAAGCAAGCTTTTCCAGGGTTTACATAACTGTAACGTAATGCCAGAACGACTGAACAGCTCCACGAACGAGTTTCCTCATTCTGCAAAGCTTCACGTTTATGGGAGAGATGAGAGGGATGAAAATTGACGGTCTAAACAAGACTGTCACCAAATAGGACAAAGATGACATCGGATATGCAGACCATGTAGCCAAGACACGCAAATGAGGAAATAGGGGGCCGTATAGGATGCCTTGTAGCGTGGAAGCACAAGCATTGATCAGTCTATCATGTTGATGGCCCATTGTCACAAAGAGGCGTCACTGCCGACCAGGCATAAATATCTTTGCCAGCCATCACCCATATGGTCTTGCTGCCCTTGATGTGAACAACAACACCCTTCATATTATTTTGTCCTTTCATCTACAGCCCTTCCCTCAAAACACACCTCCCCTCTCCGCTCTCACTCCTTGTTGCGTCTTCCTTCGGGTTGATTTCTCCGTTTTCTTCCTCGTCACCGTCTCATTCCTATCTTCCTCCCCCCCTCGCATCCTTCAAAATGGTTGTTGAAAACACGCTCGTCTGGCAAAAAGCCGACGATGAGGAAAAGGGCGGTGTCCGTGCCTCTCGCCATGACCGATTTGCCTTGGAAAAGGGTGAAGGTGGTGATGAGAACGACGATGGCTCGCCTTCGTCTTCCAGTGGCGGCGCCCGTATGCGCAACAGGTCGGCCCGTCAACGGTCACGCTCATCACGCCGCTCGATTGACCCATCTGCAGCTCTTCCCATCCAGTACCGCACACTGTACGTACCCCTATACATGCCCCTATACGTGCCGCTCGTTACCATACCCCAGGTGAGGTATGTGATGACACGCACACTGACATTGTACAGCTCCCAGGACATTGATGATGCCGAGCGCCAGCGCAAGGGCGAACAGACCAAGGCCAAGGATGCCATGGTGTCGAGTACGTCGTCTTCATCACGCAGGAAAACAAACATGTGCTTCACGTGCCTTCATCTCTGACAACGTGCTTTCCTTTTAGAATTCGAGGCCATCGACTGGCACAAGATCTCCTCGGCCGAGCTGGAAAAGCGCCTCGACACCAGCATCGTCGCTGGTCTGTCGGCCAACACGGCCAAGGACCGCCTCCGCACGCACGGCGCCAACGCCATCTCGCCCCTGCCCAACCCGTGGTTCGGCAAAGTCGTCGGGTACTTCTTCAAGGGCTTCGGTTCTATCCTGGCGGTTGGCGGCATCTTGGTGTTTCTGTCATGGAAGCCGCTCGGCGAGCCGGCACCCGCTGTCGCCAACTTGGCCCTCGGCATTGTCCTGATTGCCGTCTTCCTCCTCCAGGCCGCCTTCAATGGCTGGCAGGACTGGTCCTCGTCGCGTGTGATGCAGTCCATCACCGCCATGCTTCCGGCCTCGTGCCACGTCCTTCGCGAGAACGGCATCCAGACGGAGATTGCCGCTGCCGACCTCGTGCCCGGCGATGTGCTGCTGCTGACGGCCGGCGACCGCATCCCTGCCGATGTCCGCTACGTGCGCGTGTCGCATGACATGACAGTCGACCGGGCCGTCTTGACGGGCGAGTCGAAGCCGATCAAGGCCAGTGCGTCCGAAGGCCGCACGGCGGCCGCCAGCGACAACTACCTCGAGACCAACTGCATTGGCCTGCAGGGCACGCACTGCGTGACGGGCACGGCGCGCGCGGTGGTGGTGGCAACGGGCGATTCCACCGTGTTTGGTCAGATTGCCAAGCTGACGAGCACGCCCAAGACGGGACTGACAACGATGGAGCGCGAGATTCTGCGCTTTGTGCTGCTCATCTTTGTCATCATGGTGACCTGGATTGTCGTGCTCGTGGCTGTCTGGTATGTCTGTCTCTTCCTGTGCATACTCATTGCCCTGGTCTATCAAGCCTTGGGACGGTAGCGTTTTGTTTTTGTCTTTTTTTTTTTGGCCGAATAAAATCATGTTGACACTTTTATTTTCTATTTTCCAGGGCCGGCTGGCTGCGCAAGGCACATCCCGACTGGATTAGCGTGCCGATGCTGATTGTCAGTGCCGTCAGTGTGGCCATTGCCTATATTCCCGAAGGCCTACCCATTGCCACGACGGCGAGCTTGACCATCACGGCCAATCTCATGAAGAAGCATCGTATCCTGTGCAAGTCGCTCAAGACCGTTGAGACGTTGGGTGCCGTGTCCGTCATTTGCTCCGACAAGACCGGCACTCTGACCAAGAACAAGATGTATGTCACCGACTGCTCGCTGGGTGTCACGACCTACACCACCGACGAGGTAGTACTGCTGGCTGAGGGTGCCCCCGCCTCCGCGTTCCCGTCGCCCTTGAACCAGTTGTGTGCTGGTGCGGGACTGTGCAACACCGCCGAGTTTGATACAGCCGCCGAGGACGAGGATGATGTCGAGGCCAATGGTCCCAAGAAAGAGCGCCGCATCTTTGGCAACGCCACGGACCAGGCCGCCCTGCGTCTCGCCGACCGCCTGGGCCACATTGCTGAGCTGCGTGCCGCCTGGTCCACCGTCGCCGACCTCGCCTTTGACAGCAAGACCAAGTACATGGCCACCGCCCTTGCCCTCAACGACACCAGCAACAACAACAGCATAGCACACCAGTGCCTGACACACGGCGAGGTGGTGGACAGCACGTTTGGCAAAATCAACCCCAGTGCGCCGGCTCTACCACTGCCTGCCGTTCAGCAGAACACGCTCCTGTTTCTCAAGGGCGCGCCGGATATGCTCCTCGACAAGTGCACGCGCATTGTGCAGGCGGGCGTCGGTGAGGGGGGCAGTAGCGTCGTCGCCTTGACGCCCACGACGCGTGCCGCTGTGCAGCAGACCAAGGACGCTTGGTCCGCCGAGGGACGCCGTGTGATTCTCGTCGCGCGCAAGATTCTTGCTCCTGGTGTGCTCGTTAACGGCGCCGCGGCCAAGAACGACGAGCGCCTCAAGAGCGAGGTGCACGCTGGCGCGTTCACGCTGATCGGCTTGCTGGCGCTCATGGACCCGCCACGCGACGAGATCCACGACGTGATGCAGACGCTGCGCGGTGCCGGCATTCGCTCGGTCATGGTGACGGGTGATTTTGGTCTGACGGCGCTTGCGATTGCGCGCCAGTGCGGCATGGTGAGCACGCGTGCGGTGCACGGCATGGCCGATCTGGTCCGGTCCCCCAGCAAGAGCGTCGGCAAGAACGTCGGCGCGTCCAGCGAGAAGGCCGACGCGGCACCGTCCGCGGCACCGTCCGCGGCTCGCAAGTGGGCTGCCAAACTGCACGTGGCCCACGCCGACGCTGCTCCGATGGATCATCCGCTGCCGCCCGCGCCCCCGCAAACAACGGCCCTGCTTCTGACCGGTGCCGACCTGCTCAAGGTCAGCGACTACCAGTGGGACCAAATCTGCTCGGCGACCCACTACCCGGAGATTGTTTTTGCCCGCACCACGCCCGACCAGAAGCTGCGCATTGTTCGTGCGTTCCAGGCCCGCGGCGCCGTTGTGGCCATGACGGGCGACGGCGTCAACGACGCACCCGCTCTCAAGGCTGCCGACGTTGGCATTGCGCTGGCCGGGGGCTCGGACATTGCTGTCGAGGCTGCCGACATGGTGCTGCTTGGCGGGTCAACGTTTGCGAGCGTGGTCGAGGCTGTGCGCTATGGCCGTCTTGTGTTTGACAACATGAAGAAGATCATCGCGTACCTGCTGCCGGCCGGTTCGTGGTCTGAGTTCTGGCCTGTGTTCACGAATGTCATTCTGGGCCTGCCGCAGATCCTGTCGTCGTTCTTAATGATTATTATTTGGTGAGCTTATTTCTTCGATTTTGGGATTTTGGGATTTTGGGTGTTTTGTTGGGACGCACCAGATGGCGACTTCCTTGCAATGCGCTCCTTCCACATTGCGACCATTTGCACCTTCCCTCTGTCGTTCCGCACCTCCTTCCATTTCAGCCTCGTGCACAGTTCCTTCCCTGCTCTGTCTCTCACCCCTATTCGGCGATCTTGTCGTCGCGATCGTCTTCACGTCGGCTTCACTTGCTAACCCATCTATAGCTGCTTCACCGACTGCATCGCTGCTATTGTTCTCGCGTACGAGACCCCCGAGGCCGACCTCCTGCTGCGCCCACCCCGCAACCTGCGCACCACCCGCCTCGTCAACTGGCAGCTCATGTTCCATGCCTATGGATTTGTCGGCATGTTTGAGGTCGTCCTCAGCTTCACCATGGCCTACTGGTACCTCGTGCGCCGCGGCGTGCCCTTTGGCGAGCTGTGGCTGTCCTTTGGCAACTACGACGCGGACTTTTTGGCCACCGTCGACGGCCTGGACGGCCTGACGGCGCGCATCAACGAGGCCAGCTCGGTGTATTTCATCACCCTCGTCGTGCTGCAGTGGTTCAATCTCATGGCCGTGCGCACACGCCGCCTCTCGCTGTTCCAGCACCCGCCCGCGTTCAACAAGGCGACGCAGAACCTGCTGCTGTTTCCGGCCATTGTCTTGTCGCTGGGCATTGCCGTTATCTGGCTGTACATTCCGCAGCTGCAGGTTGTGCTGGGCACGTCGGGCGTGCCGGCCGAGTACTACTTCTTGCCCATGGCGCTGGGACTGGGCCTCCTGGGCCTCGACGAGGCGCGCAAGGCATCGGTGCGTCGCTGGCCCAATGGCCTTCTGGCCAAGATGGCCTGGTGACAGTGTGAGGGAAAATCGAGATGCTGGGTTGAATAAAGGTTAATCCAGTTTTGGTGTGTCTCCATTTCTTGGCAGAGATGGGCGCCTCTACACGTTGGTCCAATTTATAGTCTACTTCCGTATTCTCCCATATTATATAACATAATATCTGTCACATCTGGTCTTGCATCGGCCTTACGCAAATATTCATCCGTCGTCACACAGGACTCTACACAGGATTAAAAATACTTCATCTCATGGTTCTTCACCCGACACTGCTTGCGTTGGCTTCGAATTTCGAAGATCCGACGTATTATAGAATTATAGAATCATGCCATTGCTGAATGGGTAGACAGCTAAGTGAAGTTGTCGATGCAGTGAATGATAGGAGCCTTCTACGATGGACTGTCTTTTGCCACGCGCCATATCTCAAGACTTGAATTTGGCGTGTTTGTGTACAACTACAACGTATGTCGTACTCTGTCTGTCCTTTCTCATCCGTTCGTGCCGTCCTCATCGTTGACGGCGACCTGTCCATGACAAAGCCCGCACTAGGTCCCAAAAGAGGGGAATCGAGCTGGAGCGTCGGCGATTAGGGCTCCACCGTGTCGTGCAGTGTTTCCGTTCCCCGGGTGCACCTTCCACAGGTCGGCGAGCTCCTTTTACCGGGTTCCTTCCTTGCTTCGGCAACCTTATCAGCACGGCATCCAATTTAGGAATGTTTCAAAAAGAGTCAATTTCCATCTCATTTCTTCCTCTTCTTCCTTCATACCACCATTTTCGATTTTTCTCTCCCAGCGTCTTCGACCTTGTCCCACTCACCACCACACGGCAGTGAAAAGGTTAGCTCGCCCACTTTTCCACTAACCCCCCACATCATTACTTGTAAAGCATCCACTGACTTCTTTGCTCACCTCAGCAACTTCGACTTCTACTCACGTCAACAAGAACGTCACAATCGACATTTCCACTACCAACAGATCTATCCATCCGTCATCATGTGTATGGGCGCAACTTGTCCTACCTGCTGTAAGCTTCTTCGCCCCGTCGGTCGTCTCTGTCGGCTGCCCCCAGCCTTTTCTCCCTATTCGTCCGCTTCGACGTTCACCATTGACAACATCCACCTCCCAGCAAAGCAGACCTGGCGCGGCTGCGGCCGCCACATCCCGCAAGCCCTCTCCGGCGTTCCCGAGACGGAGTGGTGCGCGTGCACGCCCAAGGTGACTGTGGACGGCAAAGAGTACCCGCCGGCAGCAGGCACCGGCACGGCAGCCAGTACGTAACTTGTGATTGTGTCACGAAGCGAGAGTGCCAAGCAGGTCTCAAGCGAGATGTATAGATGATGGGTGATGATTGAGGCGTTAGATAGAGCATCGGTGCATTGTGGTTGGGGGATGGTTAAGAGTACGGAAGAACGTACTAGGCATATGATTGGATTGTGATTGCAAGAGTTCATGCAGTGTGTGTAGTATATAGTAATCCTGACAGTTTGAAACATTGTTGTAAGTTTAGTCTATCATCTCGTGTATACAGTATGTGTAGTATGTGTATGAGTGTACGGAATATATGGCAAGGAAACATCGTCCATAGCGCCATGGGGTATGAACAAAAGAATGACGGAATCGGAATCACTTAAGTCAATATAAATCAACATCAACAGCACCCTCACCGTGCGCTCAGCCTGCCTTCAACTCGTCTGTTTGCTTGTAATTTGCTCGCCTGTCAACCTCGGAACAGTTGGTTATACACCCGCCTCGGCAGGTTCGACCACTTCTTGGGCGCGCGGTCCTCCTCGAGCGGCGGCGGCACAAAGTCACACAGGCCATCAAGCACGTCAATGTCCTCCGTCGGGACGTATAAGCGCCAGTCGCGAGCATAGACCTTCCAGCCGACGTACAGGAACAAGACAATAGGCAGGCACAGGTACTTTTGGAAGAAGACCGAGGCCGACGGCTTGGCGCCCGGCGACGGATACAGAGCGCTGTAAAAGGAGGCGATGAGACAAACGATGTTCAAGAACAGGCCGATGCAGCTGCCATAGACACCAAAGTTGGGCTTGTAGGGGATCTGGTCGAGCGTGCGGCCCTTGGCCTTCCAGACGTAGCGGAAGCGGATGTGCGTCAGGCAGATGGAGCCCCAGACAAAGAGGAAGGAGAGACCGGAGAGCGAGAGGAGCCAGTTGAAGACGGTGGTGGCCTGGCCCGACTCGCCGATAAAGGCCAGCAGGCCGAACGCAAACTGGACGACGATGCACCAGATCGGACGGCCCTTGCGGTCGACGTGGGCGAGAAACTTGGGGGCCATGCCGTGCTCGGCCAGGGCCTGCATGGTGCGCGTCGAGCCGAACGTGCACGAGTTGGCGACGCTGATGACAGAGATGGTAATGACGGCGTTGAAGATGGACGGCAGGACCTTGATGCCGGCGTCCTGGATGGCGAGGACAAAGGGCGAGGCCTTGCTGTTCGCGCCCTCGGCACCCAGCAAGCGGCTGTCGGTGGCGGGCAGGATGAGGCCCAGCATGAAGAGGTTGACAATGTAGAAGCAGGCAATGCGCATAAACACCTGCTTGCTGGCGGTGGGAATCGACTTGAGCGGGTTCTTGGTCTCGGCTGCCGCCAGGCCGACGAGCTCCGTGCCGCCAAAGGAGAAGGCGGCCACGACAAAGACGCTCGCGAAGCCGTTGAAGCCGTTTTGGAAGGCTCCCGGGTCGTGCCAGTACTTGGCACCCAGGTAGCCCTGGCTGCCAACGCCGCCGACGTTGATGACGATGCCGAGGATGATGAAACCGACGCAGGCGCAGACCTTGACCATGCTCAGCACAAACTCGACCTCGCCGTAGCCCTTGACGCCAAAGACCTGGATGCTCATCAGGACCACCAGGAAGACGGCGATCCAGATGCCCTCGTTCAAGTCTTCGCGCCAGAAGCGGATCGTGATCGAGGCGGCCGTCAGCTCAAAGGGCAGGACGGTCAGCCAGGTCAGGGCATAGTCCCAGCCCGTGGCAAACCCCCAGGCCGGGTCGACGAAGCGGACCACGTAGCTGTAAAAGGCGCCGTTGACCGGGTACAGCACGGCCAGCTCGGCAAGCGCCTGGCAGGTGAACAGCAGCATAACGCCGACAATCAGGTAGCAAATGACGAGCGACGCGGGTCCGCCTGCGTGCAGCGCGCCGCCGGAACCAACAAACAGACCGGCACCAATGGCTCCGCCAATGGCAATCATCTGCATGTGGCGGCCCTTGAGTTGGCGGTGGAGCGTGCCGTTGGCAATGCTGCCGTCGTCCTGGCCGGGCTTGTTGGGGCGCACAACACCGACCTCTTCATCGCTGGGGAGGATGTCATGGTGTTCGACGCGGGCCGGCGCCAGGTGGACGGCATCCGGGCGGGTATAAACGTTCTTCTCGTCCTGGCCGCTCATAGTGACACAAAAGGATGAACGGGGTGATTTGGGGAGGGTAAGGTGAGGTCGAGAAGGGGGCGTTGGTGAGTCTTGCTCTGTGTTGGAAGACGATGGCTTGGTAGCCGTTGAGGCTAATGTTTAATATGAATACGACGACCCGTTTGAGCAAGCCTATCTGGGGGAAGTCGGGGAAATAAAGAAAGAGATTGTGGAGAGAGTGGAGGGGGATGACGAGGGACGGCCGCTGTTTTAATAGAGAGAGAAGATGAGGGGAGACGAGAGATGGATGATAGTAAGTGGAGATGTGGATATGACAGGAGGGGAGAGGAGGAGAAGATGGAGACGAGATGGAGACGAGATGGGAAAGAGAAGAAATGGGCAGGAGTCAGCCAGATCAGCCTGGTCGGTCAACATGGGAAGGTGCAGGGCATTCTGGGATATAAATGGAAGGAACGATTGTTGGCGGACTTGGAGGGAGAGGGGAGGGGGGGGGGTGGTTGAGTATGAAATTCGGGACCCCAGCCAACAGACACGGACGATCCCAAGCACGCATATGTGGTACGAAGATGACGCTAGGAAGATGTGTTGTCTTGCGCCCTGGTGTTGTTGTTTGCTGGCGGCGCTGACAAAAAGCCGCCTTGAGGGAGCCGTGGAGCATCTTGGCTTTTTTCGTCTTCACTGGACTACCTAGCTATAAACTATTTACATGTACAGCCTTATCTACAACCTTGGCTAGTAATACGAAGCCACCCAACAGGACACTAAAGCCTGAAAGTGCCGTATTCTGGGGGAAAATCTTGGCGGGAACACGTGCCACTGACCATGTGCCAGTGGATGTGTAAGGACGAGCAAATAAGTATGGAGAGATGTGGCAAAGGAGAGTACAAGCGTATTGGCCTAGCTAGGCGGTGTCATGGTGGTGGCTGGTGGTGGAACTTGAGAAGAAGAATGGGAAACGACGAGTAAACAAGAGACACAGCAGGGCAGACAGGGAATACAGGTCACGGCATTTGTAAAACGTTGGACACAGGCACACGAAAAGAACGTTGAAAGTATTCTTGGCCGAGGCGAGCGAGGCTTTGTCATTGTTCGAGATCATCCAGGACAAAATTTCCTAAAGCAGAGGTGGCCGAGGAGAAATATGCTAAAACATACACAGTACGGAGTAATATGCCGTGCAAAATCCACGTACAACTTTTATGGTAAGAACCGTACGACGTTGAAACAGAGAGGATCGAGTGGATATCAAGTGGGGATTTTGGGTGGCAATCCTGCACGACCAAGGCAAGAAGATCAACATCAGGACTGCGGAGTACGATGTGGTAAGTAAAATAGAGGAATCATTCAGTACAAGTAAGAACGAGAGGAATCAAATATAAAAAAGGTGACAAACCAAATATGAGGAAAATAAAGGAAGCAAAAGAGGCAAAGAATAAACGTAGCTAGACTGCACCGTATCCTCGACGGGCACAGGTTAGGAGACTTGAAGGTACCTTGCACGGTTCCTCTGTATGGCTGGTACAAGAGCGACTTTAGGGCGTGCTTTGACCCCAAATTTGGTTTGAATCGGCTGGAAAGAGTGGGTTTTAGCGGTTTGCCAGCCAACTGTAGGAGGAAGACCAGCGGAGAAGTCATTTGAATAACGACGTCCGACAGCAAGATCAGGAATGTTCATTGTGGAGAGCGTCGTTTGTATTTTGTATGCTATACAGTAAATGTTATGTAAGTCGACCAACCAGAAAGCAAAGTGACAGTCAGATAAACAGACGAAATGACGGACGGACGTGCTTGGACTAACGGAGACAAAGGAAGCAGATCGCTTTCGTTTGTTTGTCCACTTGTCTCCAACGTCGACGGCTTCAGTTGCATGATGGCCTATTTTGTACAGTGGAAAGGAAATGAGGCAACAAAAACTACGGCATGATATCGTCTATCGCAGATAGGCCAGGAGAGAGGCTTCTACCTCCCCTTTCCACTCCAAATACAAGCCCAGAGGGACGGTTGGTTGTAGACATTCCCTCCGAGGCCATGTCCGCGGCAGTCCATTGCTGGTTGCTTCTCGTATTTGCAGTACTTCTGTCGTACGACGCTCACAAATCCGTACTTTCCTCAATGACGAGGCGTGGCGGTACCTCCCGCCAAGAAGACCGAGAAAGTCCAGATAGCGATCCACACGGAGGGTTAATACAAAATAGGAAAGAGGTTAGGACGACGGGGCGACGATCGAGACGTGAATACACAGAAAAGGGAAAAAAGGCAGCAGGGCAAGAAAAATTCGGCCTCGACTAGCGGAGCATGTATTGTGTAATTACTCTGTATGCGCTCGTTCTTGTTTGCATCGTCGTATGTGGCGCGCGGAACTACTGTGTACATGACCTCCCTGCCTCCTAGGTCAGGCCCGCGCCTTCCCAACGACCCCTAGAATCGCACCATCCCTGCTGAAAGCGGACAACGTCCTTCCCTCCACAGCTGTGTACCAGACGATCTCCGAAGGAAAGTACCCTGCACTGCCGCTGCGTATTCAACATGCGGAAGGAGGCAAGCTGGACACACACAAAACGACGAAATGCCGAGATGCCGACCCCAAGCCGACCATCCAAGGCCGCGGCTCTCTTCCCCACACCACCAATGCATCTGCTGATCCTTCTGCACGCCAGCAAACAAACTCCTTCTAGAAACCTTCTAGGCGTTTTTGTCTCGTCCCTCTTCCCCTCTTTCCAGTCCTCTTCGCGACCAACCGCATTCCACCACCTCGACGATCAACAGCAGCATTGCCACAGTCAGTCGTAGGCTTCCAACTTTCCGGATGCAACGCTGGCTGGATTTGCTCGAATGAGTCGGCTAGACTGCATTTCTTTGGCTTCCATGCATGCTTCCATGCTTCCATGCAGGCTTTGTGCTCTGTGATGTCGTGTTTGGCTGATCGCATCCTGTCGCTCCATCGACGTCGCGTTGCTCGATACGTCGTGGATCCAGACTTGACTTGTCTTCTTCTCAAAATCCCGCAGGTAGCATCCACCCTGTTACTCCCCTCTCCTTGGCTTGCATGGCGGGGATCGCTGTCGTTATGTCGTTATGCGGCCTCACATTTGTCAGACTGATGTGACCTTTACTTATTGCGAACAACGACTTCGTCAGATCCTTCTCCCTTTCATCCCTCCGCCATCCTCACGCGACCTGCTTCCACATCGCCTCACCGAAACTCGCCAATGTTTGTCGTCTGTGCGGACGCATGTTTCGTATGGGGCGAAGGATTTGGCATTCCTGACAGAGTATGGAGAAGACGCACAAAAGTACTTCGTACAACCGCGTTTTCAGTGGGTTAAGAGAATCGCATACTGTGTACAACTGCCCCGACATTACTCGTGACAAAAGAAAACGTAATAGAATACATTAGTCGACTCAACGGGCATTGATTTCACATCAACACAGCCAATGGCTATCTATATTTTTGAATCGATTTACAAAGGAGACGACGAAACAGCCATCCAGGGGGCTTGCAAATCAATATCAAATGAAGCCTCCCTGCCCGCCCGTCTGCTTGGCTGGTTTGTCGGGCGTAAACTGTCTGGTGGAGGCTGCTGGGCTGCTGGGTTAGAAAGACGCCAAGGACTCACCTATCCTAGCTTGGCTGCATCGACGAGGGCTCTCTTCTGTCGCATTGTAAACAGGCAGTCCAGGTTGGTCAATTCGTGTAAACCGTGCAGAGGCTCAATTGCAAGACTGAATCTTTGGTATTATTGATTTGGGTGCCTGCACCTACGCATAGTCTAGCGCCAGGCGAGGCTGAATCGAACCAATGGCTACTTACGGTAGCTCATCTCAACTGACCAACTACATGAACTGCTTCGTTTTGCTTCCTCGAGGCTATTGGATACACTCATAGACGACGCTAGTAGAGCCTAACAGCCTTCAGGCTACCCTAAACGACAAATGGACAACTACTGAGACAAGCCTTCCGGACAAACAATACCGCGGAATTGCTAGCAGCTTTGCTGTCGAAACTGAACGAACAACACATTGCCTCCACTCCCACTCTGCAGCCAAGGCAGGCCAAAGTGATATTGTCTCAAATCGACTCGATGCCAGCGTTGGTCTGCCTCTTTGCAGATACGCCTTGTGTCTAAATATGTTTTGTCAACAAAATAGTCTGTCTGAGGTTTAACCGTCTATTCGATCAGGCATCTGCCCTTGACGCCGCAGTCTTCGTTCTGCATTTCGCCTCTCCCGGGCACACTCCTGCCAGGCCCCAACTACCCGACAAGAGGCACAAACTGCACGCCCGCCAAGACGGGTGGTGTTGCCATCATCCATGCGGCGTCGTGATCGTCTTCAGCTGCATCGTCGTCACGCCTCTTTGAAAGCTGCCCCACCCGATACCGCGCCAGCCACACTGCGTCTGCATTGACTACGGCGAGCGCCTCGCGTGCCCGACGCTCATCCGATACCGGCAGCGTGCGGCTCTGCGACGCCGACGTGCCCAAGAGCAGCTCCAAGATGGAGTCGTAGACATCGTCGTCCAGTTTCACATACGTGACAACGGCTGTGAGAAGGCCAGCCAGAGCCTCCCAGATTTGGACGGCCTGCGCAAAACGTCCGAGGCCAGTGGAGACGGACGACAAGGACGACGACGAGGGCACCAGCTGCTCCTCGCCTGTTCGTTGGGAGGTGGACAGAGACCGCGTCGCTGTCGCCCGTTGGTGGATGTGAATCGTCGACGGCCGGCCGCCGAATTGTGCGTTGGGACCGGCGGACCGTGTGGGCATCGTAGCTGTAGATGTAGCCGCCGTCAAAGATGCTGTAGACGTGGACGCCACCACTTTGGCGGCTGCTGCCGCTTTCTCCCGTGTCGCCCAGCCGCCCAGTTTTGCATGCCACTCGGCCTTGATGCGCGTCGACAGGAAATCACCCGCGCTCGCACACAGCGCCGCCAGCGCCTCGCACGCCGCCATCCTGACATAGGGCGCCGGGTCGTACAGCCGTGCCACCGCCACCGGCCAGACTGCATTGACGAGCGGCAGAAAAGCGTTTTCGTCCGCTGAGGCGAGCGCCGGCGCCACCGTTCCCAGCAGGTCCAGCAGCGACTTGCGCAGCGTCGGCGTGGGCGCCGTCAGGTAGTGCTGGGTTAACGTAGTGATGCGTGCGAGCAGTGCGTACGTGGGCGTCTTGGGGTCTTCTGGTTTACCGACCTCGTTGCCCTCCTTGCTGGTATCCGTCGGCTCGGCGTCGTCGTCGTCGTCGTCGTCGTCGTCGTCGTCGTTATCTTCCTCCTCCTTCCCCTCTCCATCTGTCCTCCTTTTTTCATGCTTGCGTAGTAGCTTGTCAGCCTCGGATGCCGCCTCCTTCCACGGCTGCCTTGGATGCCCAATCTCTTCCACGCCATCGTCCTCGGCCCCTCTTTCCATCTCCTTCCGACGCTTTGTCCGCCTATCCAGAATGGCCACAAGATCGTTGGTCGTTGACGGGTCAGGGCGTCTTTTCCGATTCTTTGCTGACGCCGACGACGCCGACATATTCGCCTTCTTTGAGCCCTTGCCATCCTCCAAAAGGTGCCTCGCCGACGACGGCTGGACGCTCTGCTGCACCACCTCGCTCAGCACGGAAAACAGGTTCTCCACAAACAGTGGGTATCCATGGTAGTTGTCCAGCGCCGCAAAGATGGCCGCCACCACGTCGTCCAGGTACGGCACCAGCCGCGCTCCCGCCAGGCGGATCATCATGGTCAGCACCCGTGTGGAGGCCGGCGAAATGTCAAACGTGTTCAGCCGCAGCGACACCGAGTTGAGCATGTAGTCGACGTTGTCCACAATCAATGCAGACACGCTGTCGTAACCGCACGACGAGGCCAGGCTGTTCAGCGTCGCCACGGCGTGTGCGCGCAGCCGGTCCTCGGGCGCGCCAAGGTACGTCGCGATCGGGTACAGCACGTCAATCAGCTCTGGTCGGAACGCCTCACCAAGACGGGCCGCCGCATACGCCGTCACCTCCAGTGCAATCGCCCCGACACGCCAATCCACCTCACCGTCGGCCGTCGACACAACGGACGTGACGTCAGAATGTGCCGCAAGTGCAGACACCGAATACGAAAACAGGTCCTCAAACACCGCCTCGGCGTCGGCCTTGGCTTCCTCGTTGAGCGATGAAAAGTCCAACAAGCTGTCCGGGTCGTCCTCGACACCCGACAATGCCGCCTTGACCAGCTCAAACGACAGCCAATACGCAGACACTTGGTCTACCCCCTCGGCGTCCCGTGCCACGTCCAGCATGTCGCCCGCCAGCAGTGCTTGTTGCGCAGGCGGGCCAACTTGCGCAATCAGGTCCAGCACGGAATCGCGCGTGTCTTTTTGGCTGCCCAGACCGAGAAGGACGGGCTTGTAGACAGCCATGGATTGTGTTGCCAACTGAGTGCTTCCGTTGGTGGCCAGCTTTCTGTCGGGGTTGCCATCTGCCTCAGCCGGTGCACTGTCTGCCAATTGCAGAATGGCATCTTCTGATACGGCCTCGCTCACGGCCGCCCGTGACCCAGCCGACGCGTGCACCAGCGTGGAAATGCTGTCCCGTAACGCCGCCGATAGCGATGCCTGCAGCACTGTCGAGTCCAGATGCAGGTTCTCGACTATAGCCACGGCTTTTTGCACGTTGCGCAGCGCCTGTTGCTTGACGACTTCGTCGCTCGCCTGCATCGCGCGGGGTAAGCTGGTGGCCCAGTTGTACGCCGTCGCCTTGATTACATCGCCGAGCTCAGGATATAGCATAGCGAGATGATGCAGCGTTGTCTGCGGACCAAAACTGCGGAAGGCGGTAGAGTTGTTTAGTGAATCGAGAGTGTCGCCGCCGTCGCCATCCACTTTTGTCGGCGACGTCACAATCGCACTCTCGACAAGAATGGACGTGCTGTCGGCGAGAGACATGTGGCATTCGTCCAATAGTCCAACGCAAAATTGTTGCACAGCGTCGCGGACGTCCTCGGACTCGTGGTTGCGCAGCTTCAACACACTGCTGAGTGCAAGCTTAATCTGTGCCGCTGTCGCGTGGAGCCATGCTCTGTCGAGCTTTTGCTTCTTCTCTGCTGTCTGTGACGGTGCTTGTATCAGCGATGGAAGTACCTCCGAGGACGATACGGTATCGCTGATAATCTCTTCTTCCACCTCGTTGTCAGGCTCTTCTTTATTCGTTTTTGTGTCTTTGTCGCCCTCGCCAACGTTGTCTCTCTGGAGACGCCTTGTCTGCAGGTCGCCCAGGGTGTTGACGAGCACCACAAACAGCACCTCGAGTGTCCGGACGACCACGCGTTTCTGCGTCTTGTGTGCGCCCGGCTGCGCGACCACACGGACGAGTCCGGATACCGTGCCGGGCAGAAACGAGGCCAGCGCCTCTTGGTCCTTGACTGTCGTGTACAGCGCCGCGAGCGCACCGAGCGCCTCGATCTGGATGGTCGGGATGATGGAGTCCGTCACGCCCTCGAGCATCACCGACACGGCATGTGCCAGCACGGGCACCACATTGGCCGTGACCAATGGTGACTCGGCCGAGCCGGGTTTGGCGGTCGCCGCGCCGGCTGTCTTCATCAGTGCCGCTAACGCGCGGTAGCCTTCGGCCACCGTCTCTTCGGGCAAAATTGCCTGGGTCTGGACCTGGACGACTTTGTCTGTTCGCCCTGCGGGCCGGCCGCCTGTGACGACGGTCGTCAGGAGAATGAGCAGCCGCTGTGCATTCTCGCCCGAAATCGAGGTCCGCCAGCCGTACTGGATCAGCACCCGCAGACATTTTGTGGCGTTCTCCAACAGGCGCGCCGGGTACGACGTCATGTGCTGCAGGATCGTCAGAAGCGGGAACGACGCGTAGTCCGCCATAGAAGCGTCCAGCACGGCGGCATCATACCCGACCTGGTCAGTCAGGAGGCCGTACAGAACATCTGTCTGCGACGTCATGCTGGCGGCCGCAGCCGCCGCCTCCCGCGGATCGGCATCGCGGCCACCGCTTTTGCGCAGTGCTTTGGCGATCTCAAGACAGCATGGTTTGAGCTGTACTGTTGTTAGCCAGAGGACGCCGCCCTTCCATTTCCTACACGCCGCGCAGCCATCTATCTCACCTTGTTGAAGAATTCGGACCGCTGCGTGGATGAGTTGCGAAAGGCCAGTTGCGGATGAGAGTCCATCGCGTTGAGAAGGTATGCTCCTACCGCATGGCGGATATGTAACGACGTCTCTTGTATGTCTGTACGCGTGCTCGTGTGCTCGCTTTGTCGCTGGCTTCTGTGCTCGTAGTGAGGGACGTGTCGATGGAGTTTGTTTGGGGCCAATGTCTCTTCGGTGCTTTGACGTCTGCAGTCGGAGCTATGGTGAACGCTAAAATGGGAAAGCGACTGGGGCTGGCAGGCACGATGACAAAAGTCGCCCAGGAGCGCAAAGGCAAGTGCGACACACATTTGGTCCCCACCACTAAGTATTGGGTAGGAGCGACTTAGCTATCAGATGAAGGTGCTTTGGTGGTTTTTTGTGCATTTTGCAGGTGGGGGTGGGGCCCACAGCGTCGTGACAAGCTATCATTCAGTGGAGCTTTCCTCAACGTCGCCAGTGCCAAGGAAGCCCCGTGAGAGGGTAGGTGCGATGAAGGAGACTTTCTTTCTTGAAAATCTAACCAGTCCATTTTATCAGATCCTTGGCAGTTACGCAGAGGAAGGTGCATTCTATAAGTAGAGGACCTCGGTCTTTCCTGTATTGTCGCTGCTGAATCACCTTACGCTTCTGCTCATTTTCCCTTTCTTTCCATCTCAACGTCTTTGTATCACCATTTCTTCTTATGTCTCGTCCCAGTCCCAGCACATTGCCACCATGACTGCCGTTCTCGAAAACCGCCTCAAGGCACCCTTCTCGGTCATCGTGCACCCCTTTGACTCGCCCACCCGTCACTCGTGCGCCTACGAGCTCGTCACGGCCAACTCGGTCGGCGCCCGCCATGCGCTCGTCTTCATCGGCGGCCTGACAGACGGCCCGCACACCACGCCCTACATCCGCACGATTGCGCACCAGCTGGCGACCTCTGACGCTGCCAAGGACCTGGGCTACTCGGTGTTTGAGCTGCGCATGTCCAGCTCGTTCCACGGCTACGGCTTCAAGCGGCTGACGGACGACGTGGCGGACCTGTCGGCGCTGGTGACGCACCTCAAGGACAACCTGGGCCGCGACAAAATTGTCTTCCTAGGCCATTCGACGGGCTGCCAGGACCAGATGGCGTACGCCAAGGCGATGAAGGCGGGCACGAGCCCCGAGGTCAGTGGCTTCATCCTCCAGGGCCCCGTGTCGGACCGCGAGTGCCTTGTGCCGTATTTTAAGCCCGGCGAGCACGACATGACAGTGGCGGCGACGGAGGGGATGATCAAGGAGGGAAAGGCGGACGTGATTGTGCCGCCCGAGTACATGCCCGAGATGATTACGGCGCCGCACTCCGCCTACCGCTGGCACTCTCTGGTTTCGTTCAAGTGGGTTCCTTTTAACGTCTCCTTTATTGTCTCTACTCTATCCTTTCCACCACTAACACCGACGTCAGTGGCGACGACGACTTCTTTTCGTCGGATCTGCCCGACGAGCGTCTGGCTGACGCGTGGAGTCAGTTCACCAAGCCAGTCCTTGTGCTGCCGTCCGAGAAGGACGAATGTGTACCTAAGACGATCGACGTGCCCAAGAATGTGGCGCGCTGGAAGTCGTTCTGTCCGCCGGGTGTCTTTAGTGAATTCTCGGGCTCCATTCCGGGTGCGAGCCACGCGGTTGAGCAGCCCGATGCACAGTTATGGGTGGCCGACCGGGTAACGAAGTTCCTCAAGAGCTTGGAATAAAGGAGCTAGGTGGCACGAAAAATAGATACAAAAACGATGCTCACAGATCGGATTAATCTTCCATTCACGTCAAGACGCTGTTTAGATTCATTGCTCTTTCTTCCCTGATGTCTGCGCTCCACAAGCGCTCGGCACATCGATGCTGGTTCTGTTGACTGTGGCAAACACACGGCAGATCGATTTTGAGCTTGAGTAGAGAGCACCTGGCGAGAAAGGGTCAGTCGCAATCTTGAGCAGACCTTATCACGTATGGGACGTACAGAGTGGCACCGCAACCCACGGCGCGTTCATGCCCGCAAAATAGACCCAGCGGTACTGAAACTCGGGCCGGCAGTGGCTCGCTCCGTGGATGGACTCCTCAAACAGAAGCGTGCCGTAGTACAGCAAGACGCCAAACAGGTGCACCGTGCTGACAACCATCTGCAAAACGTGCCGCAAACCGGAGCTGCCCGCTGGCAAACCAGCGCCGTAGACGATAGTGGCTGCAGTCAGAAAACAGAGACTGCCTTGGACCAGCACGGTCAGACCCTCGACGCAGAGCATAAAGGGATCCGACGTGAGGTACCGCGAGTCTGACAGCGCGTACTCCTTCCAGAGCTGTGCGCGTACCGTCTGTGAACCGGCAAGTGTGGCGTGGTGCTTGACAAAGTAGCCTGGAGACATTAACAAAAGCAAGCATGGAGAGGCTTGAAATGCATACGTACCCTCAAAGAACCAATGGAGACCGCCGCCTGGACATCGTGTGTTAGTATGAACTTGATATGCACCGAGGAAAAAGACATAACTGCTTCGAACGACCTACACAACGTGAACCAAACAAACAACGCCTTGTCAGAGAAGGGGGCCTGGCGAAAACGGGGTGTTACGAGCCGCGCCACGAGAAAGGCTGCCACTAAAAACATTGCCAGGGCAGAGGCAAAGTAAACAAACAGCAACCATAATGGCGACGTATTCGGCTCAAAGTCGGGGATGGAGAGGCCAGGAGGGTAATAGGGGTGATCCAACGGCAGGCTTCCAGGAGCCGTGGCGGCACCACCGGGATGTTCCATTCGGGCCCGAGGATGTAATGTACTTAATAGAGCATGAAGAAGAAACCGACAGGTACGGCTTGCGTCGCAAGTTGTAATATTTGGCGAGGTATTGAGACGGATTGGTGAGAAGCTAATGTCAACAATTGGCGGGTGCCGTTGCACTTGCTGTTGCGCTTGCTGTTGCGCTTGCTGTTGCGCTTGCTGTTGCGCTTGCTGTTGCGCTTGCGGTTGCGCTTGCCTGTTGGTTCTTTTGGCGTTGGAGCTATCCGAGCTGCCCCACACCGCCCAATTTGCACGTGCTTGGAGACCTCCCTGGAGGGGCACTGTTTGTCCCCCGATAGACCTTGGAAACAGGCGAACGATCGCCTGTAATTCTCATCGAACCACTGTATCCTGTGGGTAGTTCGCGTCCGTTTGCGCCCGCGTCCTACGTAATGGTGGAGACTCGCACAAAATCACCGACAGGCCGAGGATAAGCGAATGCCGGGCCTGAGACAGCATCGTGCTTTCTACGAACACTGGTGATGACAGAATTTGAGCTTTTCTTTTTTAGTCGTCGTTCCATTGACACATTCGTCTTTTTCCTTCTCGCATTGTTAATCGTGTTCAGCGTCGCCCTCTCGAACGACTCATACCCCCCCCCCCAACACACAATGCAGAGACTCCCAACTCTCCTTCGCGCGACCGCCCTGCCGCGACCGGTGCGCTGTTTCAGTACGACGGCTGCACGACCCGCAGCTGATGTGAAGAGCATTGGTGTCATTGGTGCCGGCCAGATGGTGGGTTCAGACCCTAGACAGCGCAGAAAGACCCCATGAACGTCACGGCGAGAAAGAGAAAGGACAACTAACAGACCGCTCAGGGCCTCGGCATTGCCCTCGTGGCCGCACAACGCGCCGGCGTCCCCGTCACGGTCGTCGACTCGTCGCAGGCCTCGCTCGACAAGGGCCTCGCTTTTGCCGACAAGCTCTTGGCCAAGGACGTGAGCAAGTCGCGCATCTCGCAGGAGGATGCCGATGCTGCACGCGCTCGCCTAACACCGACGACGTCGCTCGACGAGCTTGGGGGCGTCGATATGGTCATCGAGGCCGTCCCCGAGATCCCGGACCTCAAGTTTGATCTGTTCAAGCGCCTCGCCGGCATCGCAGCGCCGTACACCGTCCTGGCGACCAACACGAGCTCCATCTCCATCACCAAGATTGCTGCGGCCGCCGCTGCCGCGTCCGGCCAGCCTCCTGCCTCCGAGGCCGCCGCCGCCATTGCGTCGCGCGTCGTGGCCACGCATTTTATGAACCCCGTGCCCATCCAGAAGGGCGTCGAGATTATCAGCGGCTTGCAGACGAGCGCCGAGACGCTGGCGACGGCTGTGGCGTTCTGCGAAAAAATGGGCAAGATCGCGTCGACGTCCGCCGACACGCCGGGCTTCCTGGCGAACCGCATTCTGATGCCGTACATCAACGAGGCCATCATCTGCCTGGAGACGGGCGTGGGCGACCGCGAAAGCATCGACGCCATCATGAAGAACGGCACCAACGTGCCGATGGGCCCGCTGGTGCTGGCCGACTTTATCGGCCTGGACACGTGCCTGTCGATTATGAAGGTGCTGCACACGGAGACGGGCGACAGCAAGTACCGGCCGAGCGTGCTGCTGGCCAAGATGGTGGATGCAGGCTGGCTGGGTAAGAAGAGCGGCAAGGGCTTCTACGACTACTAGAGGACATGGGTGTACCAAAAGAACAAGATCAAAATCATCATGCGACGGTAGGAAACCGAATAGAGACGGTTCAGACGAACAAACGAATGAATAGATTACCTGTCCGGCTCTCCTCGCCTGCTGCAACCAGTGACTCTAACAGAACTAGCGAGGACAACACACATGTCTGAAAGTTCTCTCAGTGAAGCAGTGAAGAGTGCCTTGTTCGGGGACGCAGAGGCGACCACCGGCGTCGATCTCGGGAGGCCGGAATTGGAGAGTGTAGAGATCAAGGCTACAGCCAGAATCGATTGAGCCGACTTGCCGACCCGTAAGGAAGACGAGGAGAGACAGAAGAGGAGAACTGGCCCAAATGCACGTCGGTCCACCTCAGACTCTTCTGCGAACTGCGGAAGCGTGGACCCACAAAAAGGCGCATGGCGTGGGAATGCACATTGTCTGGTTTTTGGATTTTTTTGGCCGCAGCGAACATCAGGACGCACATCCCCGGGTCATGTCCGCTCTGTAGGTTCCATAACCGCCTCCAAATGCAATCAATGCAACCGCAAACGCTCCTTGCGTTGACAGTGAATCCGGAAATCAACCCTGAACAAGGCAGAGCCAGCAGTCTGATCGCTCCCGAAAAGTAAATGCGGTGGGACACACGCTAGCGCGACTCCCGGGAACGGCTCCCGCTCCTCTGTACATCCTTTTGCGCTTTCCGTTTCTTTTCATTTATCGGTCCTTCTCCATATTTTTGACCTTTGCTTTTATCTTCGTCGGACATCTGGTATCGACTTTCTACCCTCTCACCAACTCCCCTCCTCCTTTCTCTGTCTCTGCCTGTGTAGAAACACACCGCCTTCCCTCATCATTTCACATACCGCCAGAGACACACTATCGCTCGCAGCCGCGCTCCACTCTGGCGCTCGCTATCTCAGCTCAGCTACAGGCGTCGGTGCTGGCTCCGGGTCTGCTCTTGGGGCAGGAGCAAATGGGCCTGTCGGCCCGGCCCGTGACGCGAACAACAACAACAGCAGGAACAACTGGCCGAGACGCCTCACCTCGTCTGTCCAGCGCCACGCTCGCAGCAGCCGGCGACGAGGCACTCCCAACGACACCATGGCGTCCTCATCCTCGCCGCCAGCGGCAACGTCCCGTCCCGCCTGGTGGAAAGTGCATCTTTTCCGCGGCATGGCTAATGATGTCCGGCGGCGCGCTCCGTTTTACATGAGCGACTGGGCGGACGCATGGGACTACCGCGTCGTGCCGGCGACGGTGTACATGTACTTTGCCAACATCCTGCCGGCGCTGGCCTTCTCGCTCGACATGTTCACCAAGACACACATGCAGTACGGCGTCAACGAGGTGCTGCTGGCGTCCGTGCTGGGGGCCGTCGTCTTTGCCGTACTCGCGTGCCAGCCGCTGGTCATTGTCGGCGTGACGGGCCCCATCACCGTCTTCAACTACACCGTCTACGACATTATCGCGCCGCGCGGCACCAACTACCTGGCGTTCATGTGCTGGATCGGCCTCTGGTCGCTGGTGTTCCACTGGGCGCTGGCCATGACCAACGCCTGCGACGCCCTCAAGTACGTGACGCGATTTCCCTGCGACATTTTCGGTTTCTACGTCGCCTTCATCTACCTGCAAAAGGGCATCCAGGTGCTGTCGCGCCTGGGCGACGCGGAGCCGTTTTACCTGTCGATTTTCATTGGCCTGGTCGTCTTTGCCGTGGCCTACATCTGCGGCGAGATGGGCCGTGGCAGCCTCTTTACCCACCCGGTGCGCGTCTTCCTCAAAGACTACGGCACGCCGCTCACCGTCGTCTTCTTTACCGGCTTTGTGCACATTGGCCGCATGCGCCAGGTGTCGCTCGAGGTGCTGCCGACGGGCATCGCGTTTGAGCCTACCGATGCCGTGCGCAGCTGGCTGGTGCGGTTCTGGAACATTCGTGTCGGCGATGTGTTCCTGGCCATCCCCTTTGCCGTGCTGCTGACGATCCTCTTCTACTTTGATCACAACGTGTCCTCGCTCATTGCGCAGGGCACCGAGTTTCCGCTGCGCAAGCCGGCCGGTTTCCACTGGGACCTCTTTCTGCTGGGCCTGACGACGGGCGTTGCCGGCATTCTCGGTCTGCCCTTCCCCAACGGCCTCATCCCGCAGGCTCCCTTCCACACAGAGTCCCTGTGCGTCACTGAGCTCGTCAAGGACGATGAAGATAAGGCCGCTACGCCCGCGTCGATGGCCACCGGCGGTGGCGGCAGCGCCGGCAGCGCCGGCAGCGCCGACGACGAGGGCGGCGAGTTCAAGGGCCACCCGCGCAACACGGTCCATGCCCGCGTCACCCACGTCGTCGAGCAGCGCGCCTCCAACCTTGCCCAGGGCCTGTTGACGCTTGGCACTATGACGGGCCCGCTCCTCGTCGTCATTCACCTCATCCCCCAGGCCGTGCTGGCCGGCCTCTTTTTCGTCATGGGCGTCCAGGCCCTCGAGGCCAACGGCATCACGGCCAAGCTGCTCTTCTTGTTCCGCGACAGGTCCTTGACCCCCCGCAGCCACCCCCTCAAACAGCTCACCCGCGGCCAGTGGCCCGTCTGGGCCTTTGTGGCTATTGAGCTCGTTGCCTTTGGCGCCACGTTTGCCATCACCCAGACCATCGCGGCCGTCGGCTTCCCCGTCTTTATTTTGCTCCTGATCCCCGTGCGCGCCTGGCTGCTGCCGCGTGTCTTCACGGGCGAGGAGCTGGCGGCGCTGGATGCGCCGACGGCCAGTCCCTTTACCATGGAGAGTGTAGGTGGCAACTATGGCCAGGGAGAGACGCAAAGACAACCGAAAAAAGGGCAAGCCCGTGGACGTAGCGGCCTGTTTGTCAGCAGTGGTGCGGCAACCGTCGTTCCCAGCGAGGACCCGTCGACCGTCAATGTGCGCCAGCGCAGCCGTGAAGACCTCGCCGAGCTGGGCGAGAGCAGCGGTGAGAGTGGTCCCGTCGTGATTGAGATGCAGCCGACAGGCGGCGCGGCAGCTGCTGCATCGCCGTCTCGCACCGGGATGCACAACCGGCGCGGTCAACAGGGCAGTGTCAGCAACGGAAGTGTAAGCCGTGGGCGGTAAAATAAAACGAGTGTTAAGTTTGATACCACTGTCAAGTTTTTTTTTAAAGAAAAATTTATTTTCCTTTCTATTGCTTCTCTGGTTTTGCGTCCTACGCATGTTGACACCACAAATCTACTTGTTGGAGCTGGATATATATACACTTTACATAAACAAGGGCCAGAAGATCGCATACCTTCAAGTTTGTATCCGTTCACCTGCTTCAATTATTCCTCTGCATTTTTTCTAGCGAATGAACCCAATTTAAGTCACGAGGAAGTAAACAAATAGGCAGCCACAGAGTGCTACGAACGGGGACAATTAGATATACGTTAAGATCTCATAAACGAACTATACTCGTTAAACACGCGAGAGTAAACATTGATGAATCTGGGCAAACACAAGATTGTCATAAATTTCTTTTATTTCCTGACTTGCATGGCGCGATTATATGTCTTTGCTCGACATTGGAAAATTTTGTTTGCAATATGCCACACATGTACTTCATAAAGCTCCTAATTGCTACCATTCATATAAGAGGGCAAAGTGATATGGAGCGATGTAATTCTCCTGTATCTTGGGGAAGTCGGTATGGGGAAATCAGTAGATTGTTTCGTTGTCTTCGAATTCTAGCATTGCTTACCACTGACAAAACTACGGAAAATAAAACCAAACGAAAGAAAAGCAGACAACTATCAGTCAGTACGCAACCTAACTGTTTGAACCTCATCTGCCCAGTCGGTGGCCTCTCATCCGTTGCCAACTGGGCACCGTTTCGAGGTTGAGTTCCAGGCCGTCATTGGGGGATTGTGCCAGATGTACCTGTACATGCAAGTGCAAGGCAGCAAGAACTCCCACCGTTTCGACGATCTAGTCAACCGCCAGATAAAGCCACACCCCAAGTGGTGAGCATTCTAATTCACGGCTCGTCTCTGCCGCTGAAGAATAGCGCCATTCGAAGCGCCTGCATGCGTGGTGATAGGACTGAAGATGGAGACTCTCTCCGCCCTCCGACTGTCATCATCTTCTTACTGCCTGCGGTAAGGTGGCAAAGATGTGATGTAAAGATCACTGTTCCGAGGAGAGGAATAGACCAGTGGTCGCCGTTGAGTCTGCTCGTCACCTCATCAACTGCGATTCTCTCCACCGCCAGAGCACAGACGACGAGCAGAGATTGTCTCCAGCTGTCTGGTCTTTGTTGGCACCCCTCCCCCCCTCCCCTCTCCGGCCTCCGCGGCATTTCTTGCCGACAGCATCTCACGGCAAACCTCATTCGCGCAAGTTCTGGTCTGAACAAGGAACAAGGGACTCGGTAGGCCGTCGTCGGCCGACACAGAACTAAGGTCTACCCACTTCGTGGCGAGCAACAGTTTAGGCAAAATAGACGATGTAGGTCTGTGAGTCCACCCCATTTCTGACCCATCCTGAACTGTGGCGCGTTTATGTGTACGTAGATGAGAATGTGGTCAGGAGTGGCCTCGTTGCGGCCTTCGTCGAGCGTATAGTGTCGTGTGTCGTGGTGCCGTGTATATCTCATTCTTGTTCAGGAGTCGTCTTTCTGTATAACAAGTACAGGAGAGAGTTAGCAACCATGTCGCGACGAGTGGAAAGAAGCGTACGGGAGGCAAAAAACTATATTTGGGGATAAGACATATCCCGGTCTATTTTGTGTGCGTGTTATTTCTCATCTGTTCGCTCTTTTCGGCAGTTTTCGAATTTATCCAAATGAAGCCACACTTTCATTTGTATTTGGCCGCCTGTAAGGCTGTAAGTACTATACTCGTCCGTAAAGAGCACCTGGTACTGTAGAATGGACCTTGTGAGATGCCAAATCCCGAGGCTGGTGAATAAAAAGATAATCAAGAGAAGAAATGCTTGCTATCACCTAGGACGAAAAGAAGAAGGACTAGAGAATATATGGGGCTTCGATCATTGTCTAGTATTATACTTATATGCATCTAGGGGTAGAGAATGAGAGGTGAGAGTGAAGCCTTCGAAACAGTAAAAAAAAATGGAATGGAACGAGGGAAGTCAAACTGTGCTGTAAGCTGTGACCTGACATTGCCGGATGCGATACCAAATTTAGCAAACTCCAAGGTGTGTGAGAAGAAGGAAGAAAGAAAGCCAGCTGCTTGAAAGGTTGCTGAGAAGACTGGATGCAAATGAGACAGGAAAAATAAATGGATGGATGTTGTCGAAAAGTTGCCGTTCCTTCCTTTTTGGGACTGTCCATCACGGCTCTTTCCTGTTTTGGACTCAGCAACGTAACATCAGGGAATACCTCTCTATTGTCCCGCCTCTGTGTGCGTCATTTCAGAAGAGTAAATCGTCCCGGTACTTCTCTTTTTTTCTTCATTTATTCTTTTTCGGGGGTTCTTCCCTTTGCGTTGCTTAACTGTCGTGTTAAGAGGTCTCTGCCACTTTGGTATAAATCGTGACGAGGCTGCATCGACCCACTTTCCCGAATTTGGGCCAATCAGGCAACACCATTTTTGCCTAATAAAGGGACCGCACCACACACGTTTGGTAAATACCCCTTTCGGGCATACTCGAGTGTTTCCTATATACATAATCCCTTATAGAGAATTTCTGTGCCACGGCAGAGACCATCCTCTGGATCCTTATTACTCTATCCGCTATTATCTTGCCCCTTATCGAGCACATTTTCCCTTCCTTTTGTTTCCCTTTTTTTCTTTTTTTTTTGCCCTCGCCTGCCTCAAGTAGCGGATAGCCGCCATGTTTCCCGGATTTACTTGATCAAAAATCCCGATTTCGCATCGGGCCCCATCCACCCTGGTTCTACCATCAAGCTCTCTCTGCTGCCAGCCACCTTTTGTTTTGTGCTGTGCCGGCCGCATCTCCCCACTGGATCCTCCACAGATCCGGATCCGGATGAAAACGAACGAACCAGTAGGAAACTCAGCAGCCGTCGTATTCGGACTGTGCCATCACCAATATCACGTGGGGATGGTTCTTTGGTGTCCGCAGCACGTCTGACTGTGTCTTTTCGTCCCCGTTTCTCTTTTTTTAATTCCTTTTTTTTGGCTCTAGCATGCATTTAAACAGGGCACATCTCGGCCCGTGGAGAATCTCGAGCCTCCCAGCTTCGGTGCCGTCAAGGTAACCGAACGACTGCGAATGCGATGGTGGCGCGCATGTACTGTCACAGCGTGTGCTTTGGTGCTGGACTATTCGATATCGGACGGCTTGTGGGCCCGTTCTATCGCACACACACTCACACCCCCATCACATTTACGCACCTGGTACCTCGTCTGCCCCTCCTTCGTCACCTGTTATTGTCTCACGGCAACACGACAACACGCAATCCGGTGAGTCCTGCAAACGAGCTGTGCCCACAAATAATATTACGCGTTGTGTGAGCATCATATGAAAGAAACAGAAAAAAAACGAAAAGGAAAACAGAAGCAAAAAAAGAGACCAAAAAGAAGATCCAGAAGATATTAAGCACAGCACAGCATACGTAGGCATAGAGCCACAAAGGCCGCGGAAGCGGAGCCGCAGACACAGCGACACAAGAGTACAAAGCAAAACAAAACTAAATTCCCGCTGCTGTGCAATGTGAGAGCGTTCGTTCTGGCTTGCTTCTGTGCTTTCGTCCCTCCTTTGAACACAGTTCCTCTGCCATCCGACAAAAGACAAAAGCCACAAACAATATGCATGACACGCTCATGGGGTTACAGTGCATAAAGCGGAGCAAAACGCGAGTGAACAGGAAACGGCAGAGATGTGGAGTGGCGAAGAGGCGAACAGAAATGTACATGTTCAAACGTCATTTTAGTCGTTACTTCATAATGTCCAGTGGGTATCATTCGTTTTACACAAGTGAGTATTGGTTGCCAAGTTGATTTGAGTATTGACATTTGGACTATGAGACGAGATTGGACGGTGAATGTAGTGGATAAGCGCATTGGATCGCAATCTTGTGGTTGTTTGTGGAGAGCGTATATGGAGGGAAATAAAGAGAACGTAGTGCTAAACTGTAAAAAAGTGGTAAATCGAATGAGGAGAGCAAAAGATAGAAAGAAGAAACAGTAGCAAAACGCACCGAATAAAAAAACACCGAAACAAACATACAAACGAGGGTATTGTCCTGTGTTTAAAAAAATAAATGATAAAAGTGGTATGCAACGAGCGTAAAAAGCGAAGAATCAGAACAAAGACCGTTGTTGGGACGCAAAACAAAGTGCAATCGAGTAAGAACAAAACATAAAACATTCCGACAAAAATATAGTCAACCCCTGTCTGACGCTGCTCTGTCCGGGAAAAAAAAATTCGTATACCAAGTGAGTGACTGAGAAATAGAAGCCCACCAGCGGCCTCAATCGTCGTACTTGCGAAAGAAAAAAAAATGAAAAGAAATAAGAACAAATATAAGAAATGTGACAGGCACGAAATATTATCGTGAAACAACACTCCACGCGCCAAAATGCACACCTGGGAAAGTAAACTCCGCCGCCATTCCGTCATTTTTTTGTCATAATTCTTCGTTTTTATAAATCAGATTCTGTTCGTGTATTGCCGTTACGCCGTGCTTCCGTAGACGTTGTTGTTCGTATTCGCACCGGTTGTGAAGCTGTGCTTGCGCTTGAGACCTCCGAGGCCAGCGGCGGTGTCGGTTGGGGAGGTAGAAAAGTCGGTTGTCGTGGTTCCACTGCCCATTGTAATTGCTGTTGTCGCTGTCGAAGCGGTAGTACCACCCGTGTTGCTGCGATCGAGACTGCTGCCAATGGATGTCGACGTGTGGTGTCCTAGTCCTGTGCCATACGGCGAGGCTCGTCCACCGCTTGTGTTGTTGCTGAGTGCCGCGATGGACGTAGCCGAGACCGACGCCGATACAGTTCCAGACGTACCTGCGCCGGTACTTAGAAATGCCTGCGAAAAGTCATTCGGCGGTGCCAAGGGGGCGCTCATCTGTGGCATCGAAGTGTAGTCCGTGACACCGCCGTTGGACATGGACGATGTCGATCCTGTCCGATAACCTATCCCGCTCCCGGCGCCTG